AGTATGGTGGTCTCCTTGTTGGTGCTGAGAACCTCTAAAGCCTGGCTTAAAGCTCCCTGGCATAAAGTGCCTTGAAAGCTTTTATCATGCCCTGATTGAGGGCTTAGATGGGAGATGCCATGTTTGGGGGCATGAGGACAACTTCTATGTCAGGGTGGGCATTTTTGAGCTCCTAACAACAATGAACTGGGGTGTTATCCAAGATTAATAAAACCGTGAAGGCAAGGTTTTTGCCATGGAGATAGCGTTCAGCTTCTGGGAAGCAGTTGTGGAAACTTCCCAGAAACATTTCAGATGCCATCTGTGCTTTTTTGTTCCATCTCCAATGGACTGGCGTATGGTTCAAGGTTTTCCCTCTGAATGCTCGTGGGTCTTATGCTCTGTGTACCATGAGGGGTTTTCTCTTAAAATCACCCTTGGCGACTGCACCTAATAGCAAGGTTACCCAGTCTTTGATTTAAGGCCGGGAGCCGTGGGGGCCATTTGCATTGCACGGGTTCACTTGCCAGCATTCTTGTAAAATAAGCCAGTTTCATCAGCACTGAAAACCTGCTCTTCTGTATAACCCTATTAATACATAACACTTAGCAGGTATTTTCTAAACCCTTCTGCTGCCTCCCGACCTGTAGAACCTGGCTTGTCTGCAACTCTAACATTTTTCATGTGGTATCACCTTTTGAATTGTGCAAGCCAACCTGCACTAGCTGAGAAGGGTTTAATACTGTCTTGGCCCTGGGTAAGATGACTGTACATTTCTTTGGCTTTCAGCCTCACGACAATGCTGTCTACTATGCTCTTTTTATTGCTTGTCATCTCATGAACCCACAAATTTAGTTGCTTTTCCATCTTTCCCACAGCTGCATCACACACTATAAAGGTTACTTAAACACTTTCCAGAATGGCTTCATGTAATCTCCGAATATCTTCTTCCTTTTTCTACATGTACTGTATTGACTCATTAATGTTGACTTTGGGGCCCCTAGCGCTATAACTCAGGCCTGAATGAAGTTTATCTATCACACGTATTTTCTCTGTAAGGCACATCACAACCTTCTTGTGCTTAGTAACACTGGACAGTTCTTTAGCACTACGCTTGGGGGCCATTTAAAATAGTGAAATCACCAAGAAAAAAAAAAGTGAAAAACGTCGTACCAGTAGATAGCAGAAAGGACATTTGCTTCCATTAAGAGCCAATGTAAGATGGCACAGCATGACCTTATTCACATTCAGCTGGGAACGTGTGCATAAGGAAATTCAAATTCCTTGCTGCTTTGCACATTTATAAATGGCTGAGAAAGTGCTGCAAATAACGGATTTTGTGGCTACACATAAATTTTATCGAGTAGGCCAATTTGCAAATACGGAATCCATGAATGAGGACTGACTGTGTGAGGGAGTGTGAGGAAGGAGTAGATGGGACTAGAAGGCAGCTTTGGTTTTGCTGTTCCACTGGAAAAAACAGATCTGTTCAGTATTTGAAGGCAAACATGTTGGCACTTCTCTAGGAATTTTTAAACTTTAGGGGGAAAAAAAGTCTCATTTCCTCCATCTTTGCACTGCTTAACACCCTGGTTTTCTTTTGTAATTTTAGAAGCCCTAAGCACTTTGACATGAAACCACAGTATTCCTGAGAGAGGCCTGATGGAATGTCGAGATTTCACACTAGAGGACAGAAGGACAAAAATGTCTTGAATGTCCTGAATGCTCGAATTCCCGATGACACTTCAGTGTAAAAAGCCTTCACGTGTAGTTCAGAACAACAAAAAGCTCTTCTGAAGTCTCAGGCTTCTCCCTTGATTGTTCTGTGTAATTGGTGCTGTTCTTGGTTTCCTTCGTTTCTTGCCGTGGCAGGTTGTTAGTAACTCCTTACCCGCGTGGCGGTGGCCTTTACAGCTCTGCCTTGGACCAAGCACAGAAGGTCTGTACAGCTCTGCCTTGGACCAAGCACAGGTCTGTCTGCGTGAGCCCTCACCGCTCCTCTCCTGGGATGGAGGCTGCAGTTTCCACCATTTGTCTTCAGCAGCCTTCGCGCTGACGAGTAACAGGCTATTTTGGTTAATCATTGATGAAGCACATGGTCCATATTTAGGAGAAAACATTCCGTTTTAATCCCAACATGCATAATTTACGTTGTTAATTAGTTTAAATCACCTATTAGAATTCTAGCCCTCGGCCTGCGCGCCGCGCTCAGCGCCTGTGCTCTCTGTTGCAGGTCTTCCCGGAGCCCCGGAGCGAGGGCGAGTGCCTGAGCAACATCCGCGAGTTCCTGCGAGGCTGCGGGGCGTCCCTGCGGCTGGAGGTGAGGCCGGGGCGCGGAGCGCGGGCGCGCGGCGCCCAGGGGCGAGCGCGGTGTCGGGGCGGGGACGAGCCCCGCGTCTCGCCCTCCGCGACGGGGAGAGGGGCTCTGCTGGTTCGCGGTGCCGGTGACAAGCGCTCGTTCCTCAGGGGCGCTCTTGGGTTCCTTGGTCCCTGGCTCAGCCTCCTCTCTGCCCTGGGGATGCTCGGAGGCCCCGCATGCGGGCTCGCGAAGCCCAGGCAGGTGTCAGGCTGGGCCCGGAGAAAGAAAACGGGCCCCTCGTCCTCCTCGATGCGCTCCTAGTCTCCCTTGGGCTGTAGGTCAGCTGGCTCTCATTCTGACTGGACGTTTAGGTTAGAGACGTTAAGCTGCGTCGCGGGGAGCCTTCTGGGCGGGGATGTCGTTTCCACGTTGCTTAGGATTTTGTCTCTACGCTAAGTACAGTCTTTCAGCGGCGTCTCCCTGGAAACTCCTTTTTCCCGTATGTGGGTACCCCCCCCCCCCAATCCTGGGGTGGTGCTTTAGATCAGAAATGCGGCTGCTTTGTGTCTGTTAGGGGTTTAAATCTTGCGTCTTCTCCGTGTGGCTTTAGCACTCTCTGCCTCTGTTTCCTGATCTGAGTGCTGAGGTGAATTCTGCCAAGCTCCTAAGGCAGCAGCGTATGAAAGCATCTTCAAAGGAACCGCGGTGGGTTCTCATCCTGAAAGGGCAGCCTCTTCGGTTTCTTGGGAAGTAAATCTGGAAGCCGTCAAATCTGAGGAAGATTCTACGGAAAGCTTATCTGTTGGTACTGTTTTTTATCAACACTAAGTTGATAGGGTTTCGTATCTGTGAGGAAATCAGACTCAGGCGATTCCGGAGCAGAGATGTTGGCAGTTCAGGAGTGGGAGAGACATTGTTTCAGAAGGGTCCTTTGCTTTGCTGGGTGAGCTTGGTCATTTTTCATCGAAGTCCCCTGTCAGGCTGTGATAATGAATGTTTGTGGCAGTTTTTTCTTTTTCTTGGTTGTTGTGGAATTTTATTATCCTTTCCAAACTATTCAGGTGTTTTGGTTTTAAGGAAAGAATTGTTTCAAAGAAAGTTGAATTAAAAAAAAAAAACCAAGAAAACCCATTCTTAGTTTTCCAAAGGTTACTGTTGAAATTTATATAGCTACTGTTTTTTAAAATTAAGAGCTTATTTAAAGATGTTTTAGAAGAGACTTTGTTCACTAATGCATCCTAAGCATCTAGAACAGTGCTTGGCATTTCCATAAATGCTTGTGATTGGTTGACCTTGAAGTTGTAGTTGGTATCAGATGTTTCACTTTATGTACAAAAATCAATTTTGACTTATTTTGTGCAAATTTTTAAGAATATCTCTTCTAGTAAATTTAATATAGAGACAAGTTTAGTTAACATTCTTTCAAGCTCAATTATAAGTTGTACTTAAAACTTTCAATTAAATGAGAGGTAATAATAATAATAAAGCAGATCAGAAAGCCCATACACTGTTTATAAGCATCTGAGAAAGGAACTCTGTGTGGTATGGACTCAAGGTGGACTTCCAGACTTGTTCTCATCCGTGATGTGAAGGGACAGGCTTGCTTTCTGAAAGACAGCCTCACACATGCAACACAAGTGTGGCCGTTTCCCAGGGATTTTAAAGAAAAACATGTGAAAGGGAGTGAGCAGAGAAAGGCTTTGTTCTTTTGAAATACCTGTAGCTCCATGTGCTTTGTTTTCGCAAAATCCTGGAAGAGAGATTGACAAGAAGCTTTTGAAATTACAAATGTGAAACCCAAAATTGATAGCTTGAATTCTAGATTAGCATTTTCTTTATGTAAAGGGTCAAGGTGCTTTTTTCCAGAGGTTTAGACTCAAGTGTGTTTGTAAGAGACTGCTTATTTTTGGTATATGTATTTTCTTGTTTACCACGGTTATAAATTATTCACAGATTTCTTAAAGGAAAAGAGGAATGGAACATCGTAATCACTTTATCAGTTATTTTCTTGCGTACACGTCTTAATACAGTGTGAAAATCAAGTATTATCCCTCAGTGAGTGGTTCTGATCATGAACGGAGTTTTAATTTTAAAGGACTGGTGTACAGTTTGCATTTATTGTTAAGCTTTGAAAAACAATTTAGGTTTTAGGTTAGAAAACATTTTGAAATTTGGAAAATGTAAAAATTTATTGGAAAATCATACTTAACAAAACAGCCTATGTGACTTTGATCTTTTCATTTTGCTTACGATTTTTTTTTGCTACCCAGTAAGCATCTTTATTGAAGGAAACAAAAAAAGTCAAATGTGTGGAATTTGATAAGAATTTAGATTTTTTTCCTCATGTTTCTAATAGTGTAATAAGCATGTAAAGTAATGCTATTTAGAATTATGTATGCCTTGATAATGAAAGTTGGAACTTTACTGGAAAGTCGAGTTTGCTGATGAAAGGGGCCAGGCACCGTGAGTGTCTCCAGCTCGAGAATGTTGTGTCTGGAAGCCCTCGTTCACCTGGTACCTGTGGAAGGACAGCACTTGTCCTGGTCGTCGTGAGAATGTTGCTCGTGCTGACCCCGTCCTGTGTGTGGCTTCCCCGTCTCCACCTGGCGCTTGATCGCCGCTCTCGGCAGCATGCTGCCTTCTGTGGTTTGGCCTCCTTAAGGACGTGCGCGTGTTGCCTTAGTTCACTCCTTAGTCCGATGAGTTGGCCCAGCCCTCCTCTCTAGGAAGGAGGCGCAGTCTGACATCGGTTCTCGCTGCTAACCCCGTGAGTGCTCACTGCCGGGCTGCTGTCGGCCTTGTGAAGGAACTCTGCAGAGGTGGTGGCTCCGCAGGTGCTGGGCAGTGGGGCGGGTATGAGCGTCCGGGTTCTGGACGTAAACAGAAAGGCTGGCAGGGCTGTGTGGGCCCCTGGGGGGACCGGCGGCGGGGAGCTGGGGCGCGGGGCTGGCGTTGGCCCTACAGGAGGTGCTTGGCGCCGCTGCAGCCTCCTGGAGGAGCAGGTGGTGAAGGTTAGGGACGCAGCACCCCTCGCTGTGCACGCCTCTGCGTGGTGAGTGAACCGTCCGCAGCTGCAGACCGTCGCCTATCTGGAGTGACCACGGCCGAGCCGGAAGGGGCAGGGGGATGTCGGGGAGTAACGCCCTGGATGCTCACGAGTGCCTGAAACCAAAAGGAAACCGGTCCCTGGCGGTGGGACCACTCGGGGACGTGTTCTGACCTCACTCTGTATGACTGTTTGGGTGGCATGTTGACTCTGGTGTTGGTTTCACAGGGTGAAGGGTAGACACAGCTGTGGGTCTGTGCTGACTTTGTTGTCTTACTTCTTACCTGTTAACAGGTTTGTATCTGTTAACCGAGTCGTTACTTTCTTAGCCCTGTCTACCTGTGTCACCCTCAGTGGCAGCTGGCTGCTTCAAGGAGTGATATTTTACAGGAAACCGAGTGTGTCTCATGTCACCAGGGTCCAGGTCCTTTGTCCTTGTCGTGGGATTGAATGAATTAGTGCTTAGCACTTAGAACAGCACCTCATGTATATTATGTGCTAAGCAGAGAGTAGCTGTTATTATTATCATTTTCTTGTAGTTTGAACAATGCTGGTAGGCATTTAAAAAAATACTTTACCCCATAATCCATATTCAGTTATATAAAATTCAAGAAATGGAGAAATGTAAGAGGAAAATAATTATATAATGATGCCATCTAGAGATAACCAGCAGAGAAGGCAATGGCACCCCACTCCAGTATTCTTGCCTGGAGAATCCCAGGGACGGCAGAGCCTGGTGGGCTGCCGTCTGTGGGGTCGCACAGAGTTGGACACGACTGAAGCAACTTAGAAGCAGCAGCAGAGATAACCAGTGTGAAATTTAGTGTATATTTTTCAGCCTTTCCCCCCTTTGCATATAAATATGCTTTTAAAATATCCATGACATCATGATATACATGATGTTTTAAAATGTCCTCTAACTTGCCACAGTGGCTGTTGTGTGAAACGTCTGTCGTGTTGTTTTTGACGGCGTTCTAACAGTTTGTGGTGCTCCTCCTCGGTTTTGGGTGTAGGGGTTGTTTCGAGCCTTTCTTGCTGTCAGCAGTGACCTTTGATGCCCGTCGCTGCACAGGATCCCTTGTCTCTAATCGCCTTCGAAGGAGGTGGTGCCTGATGTGGCCGTGCATTAGGGCGGAGGTGGGGCTTTTGCAGGCTTTGAGCACCTCTGCCAGAGTGTCTCCAGAGACGTCTTGTCCCTTTGCCTTGCCATCAGCAGTGTGTGTGAGAGCACGTGCCTCTGTAGTCCAGTGGCTCCTTCCTGCTACCTGTCGTTTCTCTTGCCTTCAGGCTAATGGAACCCTCCTGGGGTGGACATTCTAGTGTTCTTACATCACCTGCTGTGCCTGCCTTTCTGGGTAAATGGTAAACTGAAGCCGATGTGATGTACTTGAGATTTCCTGCACTGGACCTGGAAAGGAGGATGTGAAAGAAAAGCTGCTGGAGTAGGAAGTAGAAGTTGAGAGCCTCAGACATTTGTGGTGCTGTCTTTCATCTCTCTCACAAGTAGCTTCTGGCCTGGTGCTGGCCAGGGGTGTTCTGGGGCCACTCTGTAAAGGGGGCGCTCTGGCTGGAAGTGAGTTTGGAGACTGTGTGCCAGGGTGCCCGTTTCCTGCTGTGTGAGTGGCGGAGCTTTGACTTTCTCCCTACAGAGAGAAAGGAAAGGCGTCAGTAGGGCCCTCCAGGGTTGTCATCGGCTGGGCTGATGAGCTGATGAGGTGGGGAAAGAAAGCACCTTACGTCTTTCTGAAATCCTCATCTTCCTTGTGTATTTCTGGAGGGCAGATTCCTTTATTAAACTTCTTTGTCCTCATGTCCAGTTCTCGTCTAGACATTTAGCAAGGTTGTGATTGAGATTTTGTCCAAAACTATTTAAAAATACTGTTGAAAGAACTAAAACACACTTGTGTGAAAACTTGAAACTTGTTGATGTAGGCTTCAGAATTAATTGAAACAAAGACAGAAGTGTATAGTTCTTTCCCTGGGAATGAGATGCCCCACCCAGGTGTTACCACCACCTTTGACTTAGATTCAGACGGATGGATGGTTAAGCTGTGTGCTGTCGCTTTGCACTGCAGGTGTGTTTGGGGTCACACAGTCTGTCGTCGTAGCTAGTCATCTCTTCCCCTGACTCCATGGTGAGCTGGAAGTGGTAGGTAATGACATAGTGTTTATTGACTGACTTACCAAATAAACTCTTGAAGTCAAGTCATTCATGTTTTTGCCAGAACTTGCCTTTTAAAGAAGTTGAGAGACAGTGAGTAATTAAAAAGTCATTTGGGGAAAAAAGAAAAAAAAAAGTCATTTGGTAGGTGAGATGAATAACTGTTTCTGACCATCTTGTAGGTGCTTATAAGCAGAGATGTTACATCCTCCTCTGACATTACGATTCTGTTTAGTTTTTCCCGCATGCTCTGTGTCACGCTGCAGAGCCTGGCCAGCTGTCCTGCCAGTGAGCTGGTCCCCTCTGCATGCAGGCTGCGTCCCACGCGGAGGCCTGGGCTTCCCTTCCCGCCAGGTCTTTGGCGTCTTCCATCAGTATCAGCGCCATTCGATAGAAATAAAACCGAGCCACACCTGTTATTTTAAATCTCCTAGTAACCACGTTTAAAAAATGCAAAAGAAACATGGAATTCATTTTTAATAGTACATTGTCTTTAACCTAGTGTGCCCATAATGTTCTTATTTCAAGGTGTAGTTGATGTGCAAATATTGTTGATGTTACTTTGTTTTTTCACATTCAGTCTTTAAAATCTGAAGTGTACTTCTCTCACTGAAAGCATCTCTGGCTCTGAATCGGCGGCACTGGAAGTGCTCAGCCCCTCATGAGGCAGGTGGCACCCACGTCGGACCCTTGAAGTCTCCATCATTGAAGAGGCTGGAGACGCACGGCAGCTTGGAGTTGAGCAGGACTGACGTGTCGGGTAGAGTGTGTGCCGAGCGGTTCTGCCTGTGCTGTTCTGTTGAGTCTTCCCAGGTGCCCTGCAGAGAAGGTGGCATTTTCTTCCCCGCTTTGCAGAGGAGCAGATGACAAGGTCTTAGGTCACAGCCCCGCGCGGGAGCGCTGGGGTTTGAACTTGGGTCTTGTGGCTCCACTGGCTGCGTCCTCCTGGGCACGCTGCACCTGGACTGGACCAGCCAAGCCAGAATCACAGCTTTCACCGGTTTCTGTAGCTGCCTGACAGACCACCACAAGCACGGTGGAGTCACTGCCGCTGCCTGCCTCTCAGCCCTGCAGAGAGGCCCCCGGCCCGTCACAGATCCTGACAGCATGGCGGCTGGCTGGGCTCTAGGTGGGAGCTCTGGGGGCCATGGCTTTCCATGACTGCCGAGGTGGTGGGTGGAATCCAGGTCTTGTAGGGGACCGTGGAGCAGTGGGGAATGGTCTAGGGGTACGGCCTAGGGGGACTGCGGGGCAGGGGCGATGGTCTGGGGGGACAGTCTAGGGGGGACTGTGGAGCAGCGTCTGTGGAGCAGGGGCGACGGCCTGGGGGACCGTGGGGCAGGGGCACGACCGCTGTCGGGTGCTGCGTTTTGCATGCTCACGAGGAGAGTCCTGACACACTTGGCCGCCTGCTTCTCTGACCACGGGAATTCTAGCCTCTCAGGTGCCTGTCTTTTGATCTCATTCCCCTTTTTCACTCCGTTTCCCCCCTTTTCCAAGTCCAGTAAAACAGACTTCTTTGAATATCTTCTAGTTGTCACTTCTCTGTTTTCATTTAAAAGCAAATCAAGAAAATGCCTGTTCATCTTGAGGAAGGGACCCCCACCTCCTGACTGGCTTCTCCCTGTTGGTCTTGAGGGAGGCGAAGTGCCCCCCTTTCTTGCCCTGAGGCAGTTTGTGTCCCTGCGGAGTTCCTCTGAGTCCTGGGAACTAGCGAGAGGACAGGTTCCCAGTGAATAATTGCAAAGTGAAACAAATCCCGAGGCCTCTCAGACCATATTTAGATGTGAAATCTGCATTCAGTATGTTAAAAAAAAAATAACTTTCTAGCCAGAATATGCATTTCTGACCTAATTTGACCCAAATTTTGGACCCGATTTAGGTTGGTGTGTGTTGGGTGTTTCCCCTGGTCGTTGAGAGAGACTGCCTGGTCCTCGAGCTGGGCGGTGCCGGGGTCTGCTGTCCACGGCCGCTGGTGTCTGCCCCACGCTCCAGGGTGACTGACGCGTGCTCGCGCTCTAGGGGAGAGCAGCAGGCAGGCCGGGTGGCAGCCGTGGGCTGCGGAGCTGCTCTGTAGGACTGTGGTTCTGGCGTCCGCTGTGGAGGGAGTCTACTTTAACTCGTTCCCCCGTGGGTCCTTTATTTTTATTTTTTAGTTTTGTCTGTTTGCTCTTGGCTGTGCTGGGTCTTGTTGCTGTGTCCAGGCTTCCTCTAGTTGTGGCGAGTGGGGTTTGGTGTATAGGCTTCCCACTGGGGTGTCTTCTCTTGTGAACACGGGCTCTAGGTGTGCGAGATGAGTTGCTCTGTGTTATTTGGGATCTTCCCAGACCAGGGGTTGAACCTGTGTCTCCTGCATTGGCAGGCGGATTCTTATCGCCTGGACACCAGGGAAGTCCTGGTGTGTGCTTGGCATGAGGGGTTGGTGACGTTGGGGGCGGTCTGGCTGGGAGAGGGGGCCACATGTTTCCCCCAGGCCTGCAGGAGAGCCCGGAAGCCCGCCTGGCGGAGGAGGCACAGAGGGAAGCTGCTGCTCTTCTTCACTCTTCTCGGTGCAGGACTCGGCCGGCCTGCCGTGCTGGGACTTGAGATGCGTTGGCGCAGCAGCAACTGAACGGACTGGGACCCTATTGGGATGGCTGGTTTGAGTCCTGTTCCCTGAGGCCTGCAGGGGGAAGCTCTGTGTGTGACGAGTGCTTCCCTGTCTGCTGAAGGGTGAAGCTGGGGGGCCACTGAGGGGATGCAAGAGAGAGCCTCGCGGTCAGCCCCCTTTTCGTTTTGGAAAGTTCACAGTCAGCAGAACAGCTGGGAGACCAGGGTGAACGCCCTGCGCCTTCACACGGCCGTGTAGATGCTGCCTTGTTGTTCTGCCGCCAAGTTGTGTGTGAACCCGTGGTTTCTTTGCTGGCTGTTTAAGCCCCATGTGATGTCCCTGCTGGCTCAGCTGGTAGAGCATCTGCCTGCAGTGCAGGAGACTGGGTTTGATCCCTGGGTGGGGAGGATCCCCTGGAGCTGGGCCTGGCAGCCCACTCCAGTGTTCCAGCTGCAGAATCCCGTGGACGGAGGAGCCTGGCGGCTGCAGTCCCAGGGTCACAGAGGGTCGGACATGACTGAGCGGCTGAGCGAAGCCCAGTGCCCGCGTGTGTACTGCGGGACGTGCTCAGCATGCACGTCTTCAGAACCAGGCCCTCCTGCTGTGCAGCCACGTCCTGCTGGTGCCGCCCAGACGTTTGACGCTGTTCTGGCGACGCCATCCCAGATGCGGTCTCCAGGGGACCTCTGTGGCATTTCTTTCAGTGTAGGCGCCACCCAGGGGTCGTGCGCTGCGTTCACTATGACGCGTGCCGTTGGTCTAGTTTCTCCACTGTTGTCCTCTGACTCCTTTGGTTTTGAAGACTCTGGGGTTGTTAACCGTGGAGCCCTCACAAGAATTCCCTGAGCCTCATCTTGACGGCTCGTGGCCCTCTGCTCCTGCCTTTAGCCCTGCAGTGGATTCTTTATTGCTGTTTTTTATTAGTAGTCTGCTTTTTCTGTCATCTCAGTGAAAGCCTTGGCAGGGATGGGAGTTAATGCGTACTTGCAGTTTGCTGTCTTGACGTGCTTCTCAGTTTCAGTTTTGTCACTACTTGCTTTGAGTATTCAGAGAAGGCAGTGGCACCCCACTCCAGTGTTCTTGCCTGGAAAATCCCATGGACGGAGGAGCCTGGTGGGCTGCAGGCCATGGGGTCGCAAAGAGTCGGACACAACTGAGTGACTTAGCAGCAGCAGCTTTGAGTATTAACACAATGTGCTCCTTGCCCTTTCGGCTCTAAGCGTTTGCTCCTAAGCCAGCATCAGCCTGAGTAGTTGCCGTGCACCAGCTCAGATCCTCTGTCTGGCGACCCTGCCACTGTCCTCCCAACAAGGAGCCCTCGGCGGGCAGATGGGCCAGTGCCGAGCCAGCCTCCTGCGGGCGCTGCCCCGCTGACCTCTGTGTGTGTGTGTGTGGGGCGGGGGGGGCAGCGACTGATGTGGCTCAGCGCTCTGCTCCCTTCTGGAACCTCTGTCAGAAGGCCTCTTGGAGCCTCGGTTTCCCCTTTATGAGGTCACGTTGGGGTGAAGTCCACAGCGTAGTGCCTGGGGCCTCAGAGGCTGCCTGTGCTCATCTTCACACCTGGCGGCGTCTGTCTGGGGTGGCGGCTCCTAGGAGGGCAGAGACGGTGCAGCCCTTTCATGCGTCAGTCCTGCTGCCTCACTTTTCAGGATTCTGTGCTTCCTTCTGCCCCAGCCTTTCCTGGAAATGCCTAAAATATTCGGTGTCTCTTTTCTTGAGTAAGTGGTCCCTGTCCTTGTGTTTTAGGTCTCAATACAGTGGAATCCACAAAATCTAATATGATCTAGTTGTCATTTTAAGGGAAAAGAAATGAGGGCATGTAGGGTGAAAGTGCTGTGTATTGATAGAATCCATTATCGAACTTTAATTTTATCCCTAGGGTGTAGGAGTAGGTGGAGTTAAGTGCAGAATCTGCAGAAGCCAAGAAGGAGAACATTCCCTGCTGGGTTTCTGTTTTTCACATATCCCCAGCAATATGGACCATTTGCATTAAACTTAAATAGCACAGCTCATTTAAGATTCATTTTTTACTCATCTTGTTCTAAAATCACAAATTCCACTTGACAGTGTGATAGGGCAGGATTATATTTTTAAACTTTGAGAGCCATACTCTAGAGCTGTGCCAGAAGTAACAATTTCTTGTGTCAAAAATAACTTTCTCCTAAATCCCTCAGTGGAACTGACCTGGGTGGTTGCACTTAGAATGTTGAAGCTGCCCGAGTTGAGACGGAGCTCTGTCGGCCTTCCGCGGGGGGCGGGGGGCTGGCGGGGTCCTTTCTCTAACGGCTGGTGGAAGGAGGGCTTCTCCGCGTTGCCTGGTGTTCTCTTTCTGGCACATCAGCCGGTGGTGGCGTCACTGAGGTGTGAGTCCTCTGCTTTTGCAGCGGTGTGACCGGGCGGGTCAGAGTCTGTTGTGGTTGTGACGTCTGAGTCTGATGAGACTGGGAGGGGGTGTGTGAAGCACTGGTGGTGGCAGCTCACTGCTGTTGTGTCACTCCTGGGTCTGGTGGTCAGTCCCAGGGTGGCCCTTCCTGCCTGCTCTGGGTCACAGCTGCGGGCAGGTCTCCAGGAGGTGCTCGAGTGTCATCACCTGGCCGTGCCCGGCTCTCTGCGCTGCCCCGCCTCCCTGGCCTCTCGGCTGTGACTCCGGCAGGACTCACAGGTGTGGCCGAGGTGGCGGACTTGCTGGCTGTGCCCGGGGGTTCCCGGTGGCCTTGTGAGGAAGGACCTTCCTGATCTGTAGCCCATGCACAGACAAGCCGACTCAGGAGATGGCCCGAAGCTTCTGATTTTGTGCCCATGGTTCTTGCTGTTCTCGACTTGTTAGTTATGCAAGCCAATAGTTTTTTTTGTTTACGCCAGTTTGAGTTGGGTTTCACTTGCTTACAGTTGGGAGGTTCCTGACTGATGAGATCTTTGTTACATGAAGTACACCACCATGTGAACTTTGCATTTCTGTTTAATATGGAAGATTCTCCTGACTTTCATGCCATCTGTGAACCTGGAAGCTAAGGCAGAGCCGCTCACTGGTGTTGGGGTGGAGAGAGCCTTTTGGGTGGACGAGCTGGGCACCCTGCCGTCACCTGCGGGTGGGGGTACCCCAGCCCTCTGTCAGGCGTGCCGTCGCTCTGCAGGCCCGGTCAGCAGGAGTGGCGGCTGGGTTTTAGAAGAGAGGAAGTCGGACCCCTGGAGGGTCTGGGGCAGGTTTCCGCAGGGACCCTCCCTCCTGAAGGCGGGGCTGTGGCCCTTCCCTGGACGGGGAGGGTCTGGCGACTGGGGCCTGCCTGTGGGAGACAGAGCCACGTGCTCACCAGGCTGCCGGCTCCCGAGCCACGGCTTGTGGTTGGGCGTCTGGGTGTTGGGGTGACTTGTTACGTTGACAGGTGCCTGGAGGTGGCAGGTGCCCTGCACTCTGTCTCCCTTCATCCCCGGACCCTACCTTCCTTCCCAGCTCGCGTGGCCCCTGCGGAGGTGCTGACGCGCGGGGAGAGGGGACGTCTCCTGAGAGAGCCCTCTGAGGGCGAGCTGGAGGCCCAGGGTCTTTCTGGGAGATTCCTTGAGCGGGCCTGTGAGGCTCGTCTTTAGGGTTTGGAAGGAAGGAAGACCTTTGCTCTGGAGTGGTCAGTGCTGTTTTGGGAGGGGACTGACTGAATAGCAGGGAATTCTGTGACTCAGCCAGCATAAGGGGTTTAACTTTTACCATCTAGTGTGCCGACGGTCCAGCTCTCCATGGCCTGACTGCGGCACTTAATACCTTTCTTCCGCTGTGTGTTCTGGAGCTGTACTCTGCTGAGGAGCCAGCTCTGCTGGGGAAGACGTGGTTTATGTCCCGCTCTTACCCGAGGAGGCTTGCTCAGCAGCAGCCCCCCACGACCCCGTGGCTGACCACTCGGAGGTGTGTCCTGCCTGTTGTGCTCGCTGCGGAGACGGCGCGGCTGTGCCGAGTGGCCTCGTTATCCTGGGGTCCAGGCCGTGGGAGCAGCTCCTGAGTGCTGTGCCCTTATGCCAGAAGGTTCCTGAAGCTTCTGTTGGGACGTGAAGACACCGTCCTGCTCAGGGCGGGTGCCTGTGCTCACGTCTCGTTGGCCGGCGGTGGGTGCGGGACGCCCACCTCACATCTGGGGAGGGGCCGAGTGGAGGCTGAGAGACTGAAGTTAGCTGGGGGAGCTGGAGGGCAGCGTGAGGCACATGCGCTCTGGGCTGGTCGGCGCTGGCTCTTGCCTTGGACCTCGGAAGCCGGTTTTACCATGTTATTGGTAACGCCTTCGAGAGAGTCACGGGGCTGCTCCTGCAAAGCATAGTCATCTTCTGGCCGGGGGTCTCAGAGCTCTTGCTCTCGTGGGAGGGCCCCTGACCGCATCGCCCTGCTGGTGGGTGCTGGTGACGGCTGGCGTGTGGCCACCTCATCTCTTCCTCGGGGACAGGTGAGCACTCCTGTGTCCGGTGTTAGTTCAGGGACCAAGCCTGATACCACGTGTGATGCTGAGTGTAAGGAAAGAGCGTGGCAGAGGGTGGGGCAGAACGGGAGCGAGCGTGAAGGCTGGGGGAGTGATGGTCGGGCTTAGCCCTCCCATGCCGTGTCATGGCCAGTGCGCTTGGGGGCTCCGGGTGCTGGGTGCTCAAGAACCTGCCTTCTCTGCTGTACCGGTGAGGGTGGGACGCTGGGCGGGTGGACTTCTGTCTGCGAGCCTCGGTGCCCTGATGGACTGAGGTGACCACCGGCAGAGGGTCCATGGGCTGGCAGGCTTGTCTCCGAAGCGTGAGTGCCCCGGGGTAACTGTGTGCACCCTTATTCCCACTTTCTCTGAACCCTGAGTTTTTCTTTTGTTGAATAGATTCCTGTTTCAGGAAGTAGTCGGTTATCTTTCTCTAGAGAAACCCTTTAGTCAAAACATCTGTTGACTCAGAATGTGCGTCTTCCCCTCTCGGTGGCAGGCACTTGTCTGGTCTCATTGTGTAGCTTCCTGTTGAGAAGTGTGATGTGTGTGTGTGTGAATTCACTTAAGTTCTGACATCACTTTGGAGCCCATTGGTGGGCTGCTTCAGCCAACCAGACGCTTCCTGGTGTCCCAAGTAAGATATATAGTTCTGGAATAACAGGAAACTTCAGCTTTCAACATCCTGTTTTTCTGGGTTTTGTGACTCTCTGCCTCACCACAATGAAGGTTAGTAGATACTTTTATGTATATTTTTTCTTGCAGAATACTACAATTTGAATTTTCCAAGCTCTGGAATTAGGACTTGAGAGCTGAGACCACCTCCCACCTTTTCCAGGAGAAGGAGCTTTTGTGTTCTAACAGAAGGGAGTGGAGGCCTGTTCAGGGCCCTCCTTTTAATAAAGAACTCGGCCAGCCCATTGCAGATGCAGCTGCACATGTCCGCCTGGATCACGGTCTCCTCTGATTTGAACTATAGTCTGTGTCACACGGGGATTCCAAAGACTGACTGAAGGGGTACTCATTTTCACAGGCGGGCAGGACCTGGCATCAGGAATGTTTTATCTCCTGCTCCGTCCTTGAGGAAGGTGTGAGCAGTGTCGCCGAGAGCTTGAGTGTCTGAGCTCAGGACTCCCTTCCCTTCTCCCAGCGCTGTTTGCATGCCTCCCTCCCCCAACTTGGGTTTAATGGCCTCCTTTCTCGAGCTGGTTGTTCCAGCTCTTGGGTTTTCCTTCTTTGGTTCATGTCTAAATAAGCACACCTCATGAGGATGTTTGCTCATCTCAGAAGTTAAGACAGGAGACTGGACTGGAGACGGCATGGTTACTGAGATGTGGAGCAGCCCGGTGTCCTGGGTCTGTCCTCACGGCAGCATGCCGAGGGGTGGAGGTGGGCATGGGAGCCGGGTGGGTCGGCGCCTTCTCACTGCGTGTGGCCGTTCTCTGCATGTTGGGCGTGAGGTCTGCCGCTGTGGGTTTCAGTTTCTGGGGCGGCCCGCGCCCGGACCGTGCAGTGTGCCAGGGCCTGGCTGGCCGTGCTGAGTCCGCCGGGGGCTGCGGGAGCTGGGAGTAAGAGTTAGCTGCGCAGGGGGCTGGGGGCAGGAAGGGGAGCCGGGCTTCCTGGCAGGATGTGAGACGCAGGAACCGTGAACCGGGGCAGAGATGGTGGGCGACCTGCAGAGGAAGTCATTCCTGGGATGACTGGCCACCGGAGTTCATTTTTGCCCCAGTGAGAGAACCTTTGAAGTATGTTCACATAGCTTTCATTTTGGCATATGAATGTGTTAATTGCATCTCTGAAAGAATTTTCCCCCCTACTTTTCCTGGCACAGAATTGTGGGTAATCTGACAGTTAAGTTCTTTGGTGGGGAGGTGGGGTTCTTCAGACAGTGTCTGGGACTGAGGCACGCGTCTCAGCCCGTGCTGTTTGTGCCTGCGTCCTAGACTGAGCGCTGTGTCTGGGCAGTCCTATGTGTGCGCTCTGTCGGCTCCTGGGCGGGCAGGGCCGGGGCTGATGCAGCGTGTCCCTCCTTCTGGAATTGCCTCCCTGCTTCCTCTCCCTCAAGTCGTGTCCACTCTGACGTCTGGGCTTCCCTTCGGTTTCTCTTGACTTTGGCCTCGGCTGTGACTAGGAGAGGAAGTCTGTCGTAGGCGTGCCCGGCAGCCTTGGCTTCAGTCTAAGGAAAGAGCCCTCTCTGAGTGCCAGGAGTGCCCCAGGTCACTGGGTGTGTGGGGCAGGGTGGTCCAGAAATGGGCTCAGCCCCAGGAGCGGAGTGGCCCCGGCAGGGGGTCTGGCCCGGTCTCCCGGAAGCTGAGCTCCTGGGGTGCCCCTGCCCGGCTCTCACCTGCAAAGCCCGTTGTCTTCCGTGCGCTCCACATAACCGCCCCGTCCCGCCCTGGTGCCGGGCTCGGCTAATCCTGCTGCTCTTTTTCCCTCGCAGACGTTCGATGCAGGCGATCTGTATCAGGGGCAGAACTTCAGCAAGGTCCTCAGCTCCTTGGTGACGCTGAATAAAGTAACAGCAGGTGAGTGTCCTTCTGCTGCACTGGAGGTTGGCGGGCGGAGCCCGGGGCAGAAACCTCGCCCTCCGTCAGCCAGACAGCGTGAACGTTACTGAGCTTAGGAAGGATTGCACTGAGTTCTTGGCTGTGACTTTGCTGCGGTATTGTTATCTTTGCTTGTTAGAGCAGCTTGTGTGTCCCAGTGCCTTCCCTCCTCTGCCTGAGGGGGCAGCAGAGGGGCCGTGTCCAGGGTGCACCCGTGGGCTGGCCCTTCAGATGGGGAGGACTGGGCCCCAGGGACCACCCCCAGGGCCCTCCCATCGCCTGTTTGCTGAGGGGGCGGCCCTGCCTCCCAGAGGTCAGGCCCGGCTTCCGCTGTCCAACCTTGACCGTGGCTGGCAGTGGCAGCACCTCGGGTCACGCTAAATTAGGACCCAGGTGAGCAAGTGTAGACGAGGGTGAGGGTCTGGATCCTGGAGGAGAAGGGTGGAGAATGGCTCCTAGATGGACATCAGCGCTCCACCCGGAGGAGGCCTCGCAGGAGGAGATGTGCGGCGCTTCGTGAAGGTCGCCCGTCAGGCAGCATGCTGCCTCCAGGGCCCCCACGGCGAAGGGTGGACTTGCTGTGAGCACATAGTAAGGAGGCGGCCGGCTGTGTGCGGCCAGCCCGGCTCGTGATAGCAGTGCTTCCCCCGTGACTCCGTGCCCCGGCCCGCCTCGGTCGCCCCCAGCCGCCAGGGCCACGGCCAACGGGCTGTCCTGGGGCTGCACGTGCACTCGGGCCGCAGGCAGCAGCAGCTTCGGTATATACAGACCCCATGCGAGCCTGGGGGAGAGATGGCGGGTCGACTCTTGCTCTGGAGGCGTCCGTTTCCGGGGTCGGAAGGTGAGAAGAGGGGCCCGGAGGATGCTTCTGCTCTGTCCGCCAGGTGGTGACGCTTGGTCATCGAGGCGGGTGTGCTGGGCTCCACATGTCCCGTGTAGACACAGCCCGGGGCCGTGTCTCCAGGGCACCCATGCCATCGCTCTCACCCCACCTGGAGAAGATGTGTTTCTCGTATGTTCTTGACGTCCCTGGGTGCAGAACGCAGAGCGCTGTTGTTTACAAAGACCTGCTTGGACGTTGTGGAGTGAACTCGGTGCTTCTCTCTTCAGCTCTGAAGCAAGGCCAGAGCCTTGTCAAGTGGGAGAATTCTCTGCCTTTGGTTTGTTGGCCGCTGCTCTTCATGCTTGATTTTGGAGTCAGTGCGGGTGGCCGTGCCTTTGCAGATGTCAGCTGAGAGGGGCCAGCTCAGGTGTAAGAGGGGCTTCCCCGGCGGCTCGCTGGTAAGGAGCCCACCTGCCAGGCAGCAGACATGGGCGTGATCCCTGGGTGGGAAGATCCCCAGGAGGAAGAAATGGCAGCCCGCTCCGGTGTTCTTGCCGTGAAGATCCCACAGACAGAGGAGCCTGGGGGGCTGCCGCCCGTGGGGTCGCATAGAGCCGGACGGGGCTGAGTGAACAGCAGCAGGGCTGAGACCGGTGCACTGCCCTTCGGGGCTGTCGGCCTCGTGGGGAGAGGCCTGCCACTGTCTTCCCTCTGCTCCTGGCGCTTGAAGGAAGTGTTCTCAGGCGTGTGGACGGACCCTTGCCTTTCTCTTGGACAGAGGAAAGGTTGGTGGTGGGGCAGGAGGGGTCCCGGGCGCGCGCTGGGTGCAGGGGCAGCTGCCGGGCCCCTTCCTCACACGTGTCCTCTGGGCGCCGCTCTGCGCTGGCAGTCGCCCAGGCCCCCGCCCCACGGGGGTGGGGAGCCGTGGCCGTTGCTGGCACTGCTCATCTGGGCCTGAGCATTGGAGGGGCTTCCGGACTGAGTGTCCAGGTGGTTTTAGGGCAGGAGTCCTGGATGCCTGGGCCCTGCTGGCTCTGGGCAGTCGGGGAGTGCACGCCCCATGGTGCCTGCCTGGGTGCTGGGAGAGCACCTGGAACGCTCTGTTTCCCTGGGAAGTCCTCTGTGTCTCAGCTGTTGATGACTAACTCAGCATTTCCTCAGACACTGTGCCAGCCAGCTAGTCCAGACAGACCTGCCAGAAAGAGAGGGCCTGGAGGCCCCCAGTTTCAGCATGTTTTCATGGAAGGCCCCCACGCAGCTTCAGGACGTTGTCAGGGCCTGCGTCTCAGGGCAGTGATTCCCTGGAAAACTTTTTTGTGGCCTCGCTTTATCGATCACGCTGCATCTGTGAAGGGGGCTGCTTACCTAGACATGCTGGGTGGTGGGGGGGGCGTGTGGTCCTGATCAGACCGAGCCTTTGGTGCCCTTGACCCTGGTCCTTCACAGCCCTGGGAGGTGAGGAAGGTGTGGCTGCCCTTGTGCAGAGGGACTCGCCCTCTGAGGGGCTGCTCTGGCCAGAAGGGGCCAGGAGCTTCTGTTGCAGGTCAGAGTCTTTCCTTCTCCGCACGGTCACACTGGGGCTTGCGGCTTGCTGGCCCCGCGGGGAGGCGCGCAGCAGGGGTGCAGGGGGGCGAGGCCTGGGCAGTGGTCCCCTAAGGAATTCACCCGGAGGCCTGTTTTCCCAGGTGAGAGGAGAAGATCAGAACAGACTGCCTGATGACGGAACTGATAGATGTTCCCCTGCAGCCCGTTTCTGGGAAGGGCAACGGGGGCGTGTGCGGGTGGGTCCCGCGGCCGGAACTCTGCTCTCTGTGAGGGGTGGGCGAGCCCCTGGGGTGGGCGGGCAGCAGGGCACTCAGCCCGCCCCCCTGACGACCTTGCAGACATTGGCCTGGGGAGCGACTCCGTGTGCGCCCGGCCCTCCTCCCACCGGATCAAGTCCTTCGACTCCCTGGGCTCGCAGCCTGCGCACGGCCGGACTTCACAGTTGTTCCAGGGCCAGTACCGCAGTTTGGTAAGTGTGGGCGTGGGCCCCGGTGGCGGTGGTGTGGCGGGGGGCCCGGGCTCGGGAGGCGCTTGGCACGGGGCGGCTGCCCGTGCTGCCTTGCCGCTGCTCTCGGGGCTGGCGTTTGCCACCGCCAGATTATCACAGGTCTCACTTCACGTCGGCTTATTTCAAGATGTGCATCCGCTCATCCAGGGGGATGTGGGCTTTGTATGTCCGCTTGTCTGGAGGGATGTGGGCTTTGAGATGTTTTCCTCGTCACTTGCATGGTATTGTCTTTCCTGCTGTACACACGATCTGAAGTTGAGATGCAAGAATCCATGTCTTATACTTGGATGATGAAGAAGAGGCTGAACGTGGAGGAGCCTTGAGGTGGTTTTTGTCCTTATGAGAGCATGGCTGCAGCCTGTGAGGGGCTCCCTCTGAGTGCTGGTGAGGCGGGGGCCCCCGAGGTGGACAGACCCTGGGAATGAGGCCTCGGGGGCCGTGACGTGTGGGGCTGAGTGGAGCCTGCGGGGGTGGCCGCCACGTCCGCTGGCCAGACTGAGGGCTGCGTGGGCACCAGTGAGCCCCTGGGGCGGACACCGGCCTGGCCCTTGGCTTCACCAGCCACTGCTGTGACTCTGTTTCGTGTGGCATCCTGGTAATCATTTTGTGTTGGAAACGCAGCGATCTTGTCACGTGAGTCTGAAGAGAACCGACTCTTTCAGTCTTCAGAGGCCACTGCTTTCTGCTTACCGCAGGGGAATGTCGTTCCGTAAGCATGTGGGGATCCTGAAGAAATAAAGCTGGCCTGGTTGGAGCAAGCCTTGTAGAGAGATGCATTTGAGTTAGGTCATGAAGCACTGTTAAAAACGGAGACCTGTAGAAGGGGTGTAATTTTTACCTCTTCTTGAACTGCTCGCACTCAGGCTGACTCTCCTGCTATGTGTGTGACTGTCTTCCCTGAGAAGCCCTGGCCCTGTGTCTGACATTGTGAACAGCACAGCCCCCGGGTGGGGTTTCTTGGTGCTGGCTGGTCAGCGCTTCACGGGGACGGACGTGTGTCACCCCCCACCCCGGGGCTGGAGGGACTTGGGGGCCCTGTTGGGAGCATCATGGTCCAAAGGAAGGAAGGAGTCCAGATCCCTTGAAAATAGCTGCCTCGTGAAATATATGCAGAAGATGTAAGAGCAATTAGCAAGCTTTGGGCAGGGAAATCTTTGCTGCCTGCCCCATCAACTTGTGGCAGTTTTCATCTGTTTTTCTGTTTGTTTTGTTTTTGTGTAAATGAGAACTGGGTTGCAGTTGAAGAATTTTACTAAGTTAAATGTCCTTTTATGATGGATGTTGCTGAGATCATAGTAAGTACAGGACTGATGTTTTGCCAGAGAAGTTCTGTCACACCAGAAATGGAAAGCCCGCGGCCACCTCAGCTGCGTGGTGGGCATGGTGAGCCGCTCGGAGGGAGCGTGGTGAGGCTCCTCCTGACCTGAGGGGAGGATGGAAGCCGAGATGAGACGCTCGTGACTGAAGCCTCCCTTGCTGCGTCCGGGACGGCAGTGGCGCCCCTGGGGAGGGCCGGGCTGGTGCGGCGTGGCCCCCGGTCCTGTCCTTGCCTTGGCCACGCCCCTTCTTCAGGGTGGGCGGTGCTCAGCAGCTGAGAGTCTGCCTTAGGAGTGAAGGGTCCAGGCTGCCCTGCCCTCTGCTGATGCTGCCCTGTCTGGGCCTTCGTGGAGTGTCCCTGCCTGAAGAGGAGGCACCCTGGTGCCGGCCTGGCCTGGCCTATCAGGAGGCTGTGCGCTGCGTCTTCTGCTGCCTCCTGACGGCCGTGCCCCGCCATTGGGGACGGGCTGGCAGAGGCTCCCGGGCCAGTGTGATGTTCTTCGGGGTCCGCCCGGCGGGGGGCTCCCGGGGCAGTCTGACGTCCTTCGGGGCCCGCCCGACAGGGGGCTCCCAGGGCAGTCTGACGTCCTTCGGGGCCTGCCCAGCGCATTAGTTTGTCACGTGTCACAGTCCATTGTTGGGACTCATTACCCCGACAGGCTCTGCAAAGCCAGGATGTGGTGCAGAAAGGAGAGTGTCGTGGCTCAGAGTGGACGGCGGGTGAGAGACAGTGATGGCTCACAGCCTGAGGCGCCGGCGGGTGGTGTCCCTGTGGGGCCCTGACCTGCCCAGCCTGCACCTCTCAGGTGCTCCTCACCCTGAGCTTGAGGGGACGGTGCTCAGTCCGCGGTTCCTCCAAAAGCTTACAAGAGATTGCTTTATTGAGTACTTTAGGTGTTAAATATAAGTTTGCATTAAACGTTTAATTCAGTAGATAAAGATTGATGCATTGATTTGAATTATTAAGTAAAGACGATTTATAGTAGCTAGTGTATGTCTAAACAGGTAAATACACATGAACTCTCTCAGGCATCACGTCAGCTTCTCCTCCTGGAACTCTGAGCACTGTCTGTGCTTTCTGTTTTTTTCATCCTGTTTAGTGATACACCCACCTAGTGTAGAGTCAGGTGATTCTCTGAAACTTGCTACTGGGAGAAAATCAGTAGAGACGCCGCTTTCCCATTTTTCTACAGGTTCTTCAGGTATTTGTCTGTGTCTCTGATAAATGCTCTGTGTAAAGCCTGTTGTTGTTTTTGAACAGCACAGTGTTGTGGCTGTGGACACCCTGCGGTGAAAGAGGGCGTCGTGCTCCCCCACTGCCGGCCCTTACCTGTGAGCGCCCCGGCCCCGCCCGTGTCCTCTGTGCTGGCGGCGCTTTCCCTGTGACGTCCTTAAGGCTCAGGCTCGGTGGGGCCCGTCCCTTCCCTGACGGTGTTCTGCGCACCTTTGGCAGATGGCAGTCTGCTCTTTTGCCTTTTTCAGAAGATACTCGGGCATTCAGACGGGTCAGGGTGTCTCCATTTCCTCTTCCCAGGGAGCGTGTGAGGCCTCCGGCCGCCCCCTCAGCCTCCGTCACCACCGCCTCTGGACTCACTGTGACCCGAGCCCGCCCCTCCACTGCCTCCATCCTCATTCTCTCTTGGTTAGTCCTGTTTTGGCAGAGTGCATCTCACACTAACGTCTTGAGTAAGGGTGCTGTTCTTGCATCTCTGCAGATGACTTTATCCAGATACTACAGTCTTTTTGTCTTTAGTTTTCTGAAGTTTAGGTAGGACATGAATTGGTCCAGATATCTTGAGGTGTATCCTGTTTGGGGTTCACTCAGTGTCTGGACGTGTGTGCATGTGTCTTTTGTCACGTTTAGGACAGTTGAGCTGTGCTTCTTAGACTCCTTTTCAGCACTGTCCTTTCTCCTCAAAGACTTGGGTTCCAATGTCAGATCTTTGTCATTTCTCACAGGTCCCTGGGGATTTCATTATTTTCTTTGTTTTTCACTATGTCAGTTTGAGTAAATTTTGTAAGTTGTCTTCCATTTCTGAGATTTTCTATTTTATTCGTGTTTTGAGAGAGCTTAGCCTCAGTGTTGGTAACTATATCTTCTCAGTCCAGCTTGAGTTTTTTAATTCGTGGAACAAGGAGCATCTTTGATTCTTTCTTAGACACTTTGAGAGTGTTGGGAGACGTGGGATCCTGCTCACATCTGTGTCTTAGGCTGCGGTCCTGGCTGAGGGTCGTAGGCTGTGGCTCTGGGGCCAGGCTCGTCGACCAGGCGTCCACGGGGTTCCTGCTGGACCCTGACTGTTGATGGGGGCCGATGAGACTCACGGCCCGGCTCCTGCCCCGAGGCTGTGGAGCGCAGGGGCCTGTGCATGTGTGTGGAGTGCTTCTGGTGGGAGGGCACGCACAACGGCAGGACCGGCTGGTTCCCCAGCAACTACGTGCGCGAGGTCAAGCCCAGCGGTGAGTCCTCGGCGGGCGGGCGGGGCGGGGCGAGGCCTGGGGCGGTGTTGGGCTTGGGATGCCTGGCTGGGTGTGGGTCTGGCCCTGGCGGAGGGTCTTTCCTGCCCAGAGGGCCTGGTGTCCCCCAAACTGGAGGCTGGAGAAGGGGCTCTGCATTCAGGCCAGCGTCTCTTGTCGTCGTGACACGAGCGCTTGAAAACACACTCACTCTGTTCTTTACTGTTTGTGAGGAGAAACCTGTCACGTCTGTTCGTTTTTAATTTGTGGTTACACATTTATATAAGGTACAGTTCATTACCCTCTTCAGGGCTTGAAGCTTCTGTATCGTGTTGGCTGTGTTAGTTTCTTATCGTGGGTCTTTTGCCAGTCGTGTGATATTGAGCTATTTCTGTCCCTTTCTTTGCACTAATATGGTATTTTAAAATGCATCCCCTTCCATACACTTTCTGTAGTGTTTAACACTGTTTCTTGCACTTAATTATTCCAAGGCCTATCTGATTGCGGAAAGGAATGGTGGTCCCGGCACCGCTTGCATTTCTGCTCAGGTGTGATCACGTCCTGGCACTGCGGGCGCTGCAAGTGCTCTCGGCAGGGCACTCCAAAGGGTCAGGAGCCTTCTGCCAGGCACTTGGGAGCAGAGACCAGTGTACGTGTGTGTATCGCTTCACAGCCACATCGCGTCTGTTCCTTGTCCTGCTGCTGCTGGTCTCGTGTGGTTGCTAGCCTGGGCTCTGGGGGCCGACGTCACTGTGCCTGTGGGGCTGCAGCTGTCCGTCCGAGTCCTTGTGGGCCTCGTGGGTACGTGGCTCGGCGCGGAGCTGCCGGCTCACGCGGGGCCTCAGTTCCAGTTTTGAGGACCTGCTGTGCTTCATCCACAGTGCCTGTTACATCCCCATGGCAGGGCACAGGGGCTCCTGTTTCTCCATGTCTTTGCCAACACTTGTTGTTTTTTGTTTTGTTTTTTGTTTCTTTTGGATAATAGCCATCCTAACGGGTGTGAAGTGGTATCTCATTGCTGCTCTTTTTTCTATAGTTGGTCATAAAAACGGTGTTTGTTCATTATCATTAGAATAGAGTCAACAGTAATAGCCAGATTTTTGTGTTCTGCTTCCTATATAAAATGCTTTTTATCTGTGACTTTCAGCCCTCACCACAGCCCCAGAAGACAGTGTTGTCGGGATATTCAGGGCATAGGGTGCAAATAATACCCTCCTCTCAACACTCTCCTGTTAATCTGTCCCCAGGCAGAACTAGCCAAGAAGCACAGTGCTGGCGTCCAGCCGCCTGTGTTACAGACCCGGCTGCTGGGAAACATGCCTTAGGCTGCAGCTTGGCTGGACTCACCAGCAACCGCCAGCCCGTCCAGGGGCAGCCCTGGCTCTGGCCCCTGGGCCTGAGTGCTGGGGAGGCCGAGCAGTCCTTCTGGGGCTGAGAGTGCACTGGGCCCTTGGAGGGGGAGGTTGAGCGTGAGGTGGTCTTTCCCTTTACCAAGGAGATCCCGGAGGTCACAGAGCTGGTGATGGGCACGCCCTCAAGAGGTCACAGTGCTGGCAGAGGGGTGTGTCCCAAGAGGGTCTCGGAGCTGGTGAAGGAACAAGCCATAAAGAGTGGGTTCTGCTGATTGTGTAGACATCTGTTAAATCTTCGCTTCTTGAATTCTGCTGTGAACAGCTCTTAAATGTGAATTCTGGTCTGATGTTGAGGCATCATAGTAAAAGTGTGAATGAGTGCAAATAAACTTTCCTTTCCAGGTATTTCTCCTCCTGAAGTTTCCAGAGTTAACCTTGGAAATGACACTGCAAAGATAGGGTTGTTTTCAGGTGGACGTGCGTGTGGTCAGCGTCGTCTGTGGTGGGCTCTGGGTGTCCAGCAGCCCGGCAGGTGTATTCTGCTCCTAGCCCTACTTCTGGGGGCCACTGAGCACCATGAGGAGGGGGCAGACGCAGCTCTAAGAACCAGCCATCACGTCTCATGAGTTACCTGCGTCAGGAGTAGCCACATCACTTTGTTCTGCCTGTGATTCCCGTTTCTCTGACTCAGTCCTGTGTTTCTGTGTGTGTGTATCTGAGGCCCCTTTAGTTGCATGTGAGTAACTGTGTTGCTGTCACACAGCTCCTTGCAGGGCTCACGTGGAATCCCTAGTTTCCATGCCACACTGAGACTCAAGTAACTGAAAACTTTGCTCATGTTCCTGTTGCGTGTTTGCTCAGATGTGTGACCTGTTCGGCTGGGGGTGTCTGTCTGGTGGCTGAGCTGAAGGAATCATTACTTTGAGGGGTGAGCTTCCGTTCCTACTGTCCTCGGTCGCTTGAGTCTCTTTCATGGGGAGCTGTGCCATCTGACTTCAGACGTGGGCGTTTGAGAAGGAGAGACTTGAAACCATGTTTCTACCATATTGCTTTATAACAGTTGAGAGTGAAAATCCGGGATCATGGTGACACTTGTGTAATTGCATTTTTTCTTTTTTAGTAATTTATATGACTTTATGATTTTGGAATAGATTTCCTTTTTTTAAAGTGCAGGTTTAATGTAAACATTGTGATTTGCAGTGTAAGTTATCTTTCATTTTCTGTAAACAAAACATGCCAGGTCCCAGCATACAGACTCCTTCCTCTTAAGTGGCCATCGTGGCAGGAGTTTTTCTCTGTTAAGTTTTTTTTAATTTTTTTTCTGTGTTAAGTTTTGATTTGGTTTACAGATATTTTTATTGAGTATCCAAAGCTGAGGTCTCCTCTGTGATGTCCCCTGGGGTTGTGTGTCTCCAGGTGAGCTGTCTGGCTTCTCTTGGCAAATGCGTGGCCGTGCTCACCTGCCCCCTCCTGGCTGCAGACGGCAGTGCTCTGCTTGCACCTGGGGCCTGAGTGTGGTTTCTGGTTTGAAACAGTCCTTTTGAAGACAGGAATACTTCCTCAGAGATCCAGTTCCTCAGACCTCTTCCAGGGTCTGTGTGAGGATATTTCAGAGTTCGCTGCGGACGTGTTGGTTGTCCTTCCTGAGTATGTGCTGTTTGACGGAAGGTGTATGTCAGTGTGCCTGAGCGTTTTCTGTGGACACTCTTTTGGTATGTAGAACTCATTTTATTCACACAGTTCATGTGTATTTTACACACACAGAGACACGTGCGGTGGTTTCTTGAATGTGCGGGGTGGAAGGCAGGCTGCCAGGAGGCTTGTCCTGGAGCGCTGGCACTGCTCTCAGGTGCGGGGCGCTGGGTCCAGTGGTTGGAACGTGGGCGCCGCGGGGCTCAGGAGCCCCACGTCCAGGGTTTCACCTCTGACACATTGAGCTGGTGTCCTGCGTTCCTCATGGTGTATGGACCACACTCACCTGCTGCCCGCTCCTCAGATTTCTCCCTTCCCGCTTCCCTCCGCCCCGCCCGTCAGCCGAGATTTCGTCTTAGACCACAGGGCTCGTTTCTAGAGACTGTTTCCTTCTTTCCCAGACGCCCTTCATTGTCGTGGTGCCTTTTCACTCTTTCGGGCCCCGTTTCTTTCGAGGTGTTTTCGGCGTGCATGCTGTAAGCCTCCTAGATGGTCATGTTATTTCTGCGTCTCGGGGCTGGTCCCCTTGTATGTTTCCTGTTTACACTCCCTTGGTGCCCTAGTTCTTCAGCTTGTTTTCTGTTTGGCTGTTCTCTGATGGCTAGCTGTTCAGTGGGTGCCTCCTTTCCTGACGGCTGACCTTGGCTTCTGGGCCCCAGAGAGCTTTCTCGCCCTTGGAAAACCCCGAGGGTCCTCAGGAGGAGGTGTGGCTTTGGATCGCACGCTGGGCGGGTCAGGCTCCGTTCGGTCTCCCGGGCTGTGTCCCCCACCCCAGAGCAGCGTCCCCGGCCGGCTTCCTCTCAGGAGGCGCGGGGCTCTGGGGCCCCGTGTGCTGGGCCGGGGCCGTCCTGCACCAGTGCTGCGTGCTCCACAGCCTTCGCTGCTTGCCGCACCTGGTGGGAGGGTCCCGGCCCCCTTTTCTCAGCATGTCTGTGTCTACGTTCTGTTACCAGCACTGTGTAACATTTACTGCGTGAAAGGGGGGACAGGCGGCCTGAGTTGCCCTGGAAGGTGCGCTGTTCCATCCTCGGGGCTCCCTGCCCTCCTCACAGGGGGTGGAGTCTGTTTTTAGCTCTTGGGTGGGCCGCAGAAGGTTTTGTTTTGCTTAGGACACTAGGAAGGCTCCGTGTTTTAAGATCTGTTTCCTGTGCGTTTTCCTCTGTTACGAGTGGCCGTGACTGACCTGTCGTGTTGCGTTAACACGTCCAGGTTCTCTCTCGAGGTGCTCGAGGCCCCTGGGGCCCGCAGCTCTGCGGTTCTGCTGCCTGCACCTGCATGGACGCCTGTCCCTGCAGCGCCAGCCCCTGCCCTCCCGGCTCTCCTTCAGGGGGCGCCGAGCCTCCTGCAGAGGGCGCGCGGGGGCCCCTCCGTGTGACAGCTCAGGGAGCGTCTGGGCGCAGCGTGTTCCTGGCACCTCCCAGCCCAGAGGATTCTGTCTGGAGCCCCGCACGTTGTGTGCTCTCCTTTTTGTGTGTGTGTGTGTGAGAAAAGACAACCTCTTTGGACCTAGACCTTGATTTGTCTGGGTCTCTTCTGCCTCTTGCTTTTGTAGAATGTTCGCCTGTAGCTTGCTTTTGAAAACCTTTTTCTTTGGTTCTCGTAGTAAGGTGATTAGATGTTATTAACTGTGGTGTGAAGAGGTATGTCTTAAACTTAAGAATTGATAAAATGAGGCAGTTGGCAAATGGTTTGCTTTTAAAAAATTGAAAGCAGATTGAACTCGCTCGTGAATCAAGCTCGCCTGGCCTGTGTTGCCGTGTGACTTCTTTCTGATCCCGGGGCTGTGGTTCAGGCTCAGCGTCTCCACTTCCCTGTCGTTGCAGATGCCTCCTCCAGATGGCGTGTTTCAAGGAGGAAAAGGCATTTTTTTCCCTTCAGATGGAAACATCAGTTTTTCTTCCACAGTTAAATGCTAAGATGCAGATACAAGAATAGGGAGGGAAGTTTTCCTTCTTGTATCTCTCGTGGCTTAAAAGTCACTTATTTCCCTTGGAGTTCTCTTTTCCATTCCGTGGACAGAGAGAATTGTTTCAGCTGGGAATAGCACCTTCTGTTTTGTTCTGTATTTTCACCCTTTCGGAAACCCTCACAGAGAGACACTAAAGGAAGATTGAGGTCAGCCGCTCCACAGGAGGAGGGAGACCCACAGCTAAAGATAGGCATTTTGCTTTGGGCTTTTTATGGGTTTCCGGTGCTGAGAAGCTCATGGAAATGCTGAGCACATGGGATCTGGGACCCGGTGTGCGAGGGTGTTTGGAGGGCAGTGCTTCCAGAGAGAGCGGTCCTGGACAGGTGTGGTCAGGGGCATCGCCAGCCGTCTGTGGCAGGGCCCTGCGGAGGAGGTGCGGGAGGATGCGGGGTGTGCCCGTTAGAGTTTCCCCTCTCCCCCGGCCAGCCGTGGGCCACTACCAGCCTCTGTAGCTGGAGACCCAGGGGTAGACCTCCCCGCCCCTGCAGAGCCTCAGTGACAGACACAGCCCCTCTCAGAAGCAGGGACTGACGGGCACTCACGCACACACTCGAGGCACAGAGTCAGCCGCCAGGCGCTCCTCCAGTGCCTGTGCTGAGGAAGTCTGTCTTGAGTGGAGTTGGATGAAAGGCCTGCGATGCACTTGAATCCTTGCAGTAACCATGACCACTTTCCTTTGGTTCTGGTTTGGAGGTTCTGAAGACAGTGTGGCTTTTCTCAGCACCCTGCCTGGGGTGGCTCTCTCCTCTGTCTGTCGCCTGTGTTAGCAGGCCCTCTGCGCTCTCAGTGACCTGGGCCCCTCCAGATGCACTCCAGCCTGTGGGTCTTGATGTCTTAACACTCTTAAGTGTCTGCCTGCGTTCCCTCTGGTTCTGGGGGCCGGACTTCACCCATGCTGCACCCTGAGCTGACATGTGGCTCATGGGTTCTTTTGTTTGTTGACAGCAGCGGTGTGTAATCCGTGAGGTGCTCAGCTGAGCGGGGAGACTGGGCTGGGTGGGGAGGCCCAGCTGTGGGGGTTTCTGACCCCCGGGAGCTGACCGTGAGGAGGGGTGGGGGCTGGGGCCTCTTGGCCACATGCACTTCTGCTCCACCTCCCTGTGGTCTGGGGCTCAGATGGAGCCAGAGGCCGGGCCGCGGGGGCCGCTGCGCTTGGTGGTCTGGGCGGGAGCCGTGAGTGAACCTGCCCTCCCGTCTTTATTTCAGAGAAGCCCGTGTCACCGAAATCCGGAGCCTTGAAGAGCCCTCCCAAAGGATTCGATACAGCTGCCGTTAACAAAGGCTACTACAGTGTGGTGAGTGACTGAGGGGATCTTTTAAAGAATAACTTGTTTTTTCGATGTCTGAAACTTGACGTGTAGAATGGGGGTTGCCTGAAGAAGGGGGTTGCCGGCCATGCGTACTCCTGCTCCCGGGGTCGTTCTGGGACATTCTTACGTGTTTGGTTTGTGTGTGCAGTTGTCCCTGTTCTTGTTGCATAACCTGGTGTTGGGATTATTTCCCCATATGGTTTCCAGTCTTCAGCATGGGATTTTAAAAAGGTCATAATGTGCTAAGCAGATTTAAGTGCCCTTAGGCTCATATTCAGAGTAGGTTGTCAGTTCTCTAGACCAGTACAGTGTTTAGTTTATTTTGTGTGTTAATCATAGTTTTTCCTGGGATTGATGTGTGTATATATGTAAATAGCATGAAGTTACAGGTGAGCATCTGGACATTGTACATAGTGAAGTCAAGTGTTTCAGAATCCTGAAACTTGCTGCCTTTTGAAACCTGAGCAGTTTGTGAGCTTGAAAAATGCCCGTGATAGTGAGTCTCACACCTGACCCAGTCGCCCTGTGCTCCTAGCTGCTGCCTCTACTGTGGACTCTGGGGCCTCCTTCTCTTCCCCTTTCTTGGGTGAGACACTGCTTTCCTTCCTGAGGAGGCTGTAGCGGGCAAGGAGTGCCATCCTGATTCCCAGTGATGTCCCGGGGCGGGAGCCCCTTGCTTTTGTGTCCATCGGGGGTCGCATCAGAGGACTCCCGTCTGTGTCCATCGGGGGGTTGTATCAGAGGACTCCCGTCTGTGTCCATCGGGGGTCGCATCAGAGGACTCCTGTCTGTGTCCATTGGAGGTCGCATCAGAGGTCTCCCGTCTGGGTCCATCGGGGGTCGCATCAGAGGACTCCCGTCTGTGTCCGTCGGGGGTCGCATCAGAGGACTCCCGTCTCGGTCCATCGGGGGTCGCATCAGAGGTCTCTCGTCTGTGTCCCTCGGGGGGGGGTCGCATCAGAGGACTCCCGTCTGGGTCCATCGGGGGGGTCGCACCAGAGGTCTCCCGTCTGGGTCCATCAGGGGGGGTTGCTTCAGAGGACTCCCATCTGTGTCCATCAGGGACATGTATCAGAGGACTCCCGCAGGGGCCCACAGTGCTGCCCTCGTCTCTGGGAGCCCCGCTCCCGCCGGATGCTGTGTGGAACCAGGTAGCCGTGCTTCCCGGAGGTCCGGTAGTAGCATGTGGCCCTCTTCGGATTGAAGTGTGACCAGTGCCCTTCCAGAGGTCCGTCCGTTTCTAGCCGCGCTCACACAGGGGGAGGAGCCCCGTGCACAGGGCCTGCTGACTCTGAATCGGGGGAGGGGACACCTTGACTTCAGTCTCACGTCCAAACAGTTGTGTACGTAGCGCTGAGAGCATAAACAGCATATCGAACAGCCCGTGTGTTTGTTAGGACATCAGCGTGGAGAGTGTGGAAACCATCTTTCAGCCTCGTGCTCCTTTTACAAAAGTGAACAAACACGGTGAGTGACTAAGCCAGGACTCAGTTTCAGCTTGCCTGAGCTCCATGTTTGTAAATTACACAGGAAAGTAAAGTGTGGGGCACACGGCACGCCTGGGCGACTGGAAGAGACTCCAATCGCACACTCCGCAATTTCACACTCCGCCTGTTGCTGTGCTTTCGTGGACAGCCGCACACGGGACAGGCACTTCACCCCACTGAGGGGCGAGCACCCGGTCGGGGGTGAGGCCAGCACCGGTGAGGTCACGGGAGGGTTTGGGGCCAGTGACTGGAGAGTGCTGTAGGTGGGGGGTGCCGTGGCTGGGGGAGTGCCCGAGGTGGGAGGGTGTCAGGGGTGGGGGAGTGCCCGAGGTAGGAGGGCGTCAGGGGTGGGGGAGTGCCGGAGGCGGGAGGGCGTCAGGGGTGCGGGAGTGCTGTAGGTGGGAGGGTGTCAGGGGTGGGGGAGTGCTGTAGGTGGGAGGGTGTCGGGTGGGTGAGTGTCTGAGCTGGAGGTGGTGCAAACATTTGGAAGTTATGGCGTGAGTGGGGAGGGTGTGTGTCTGCTGCTGTTGTGTGAAGGTCCAGACCAACCACGACAACACCGGGGAGAAGACGAGGATCTCAGTGGTTCACAGCCGTCCTCGGGCTGGTTACGCCTCTCCCTCCCCTGTTTCTGTGACACCCACTGAGCATGTGTTGGCAAGCACTGGGTGTCACGCAGGCCTCCGAGGTGCTGTTCATTTTTCTTCTTTTTTTTCCTGTTCTAGGGAGCGTAAAATCTCTGTGGGTCTTTTTGTGTTTGCTCAGTTTTCTGACCTTGAGCCCCTCTAATGAAGTTTTCATTTTATTTATTGTAACTTTCAGTTCATAATTTCCATTTGATTCATTTTATGGGTCAGTACATTCTGTATTTGAGTCATTGTTCTCATACTTTAAAAAAGTTCTTTAAGCATAGTTTTCTTTAGTTCCTTGGACACTTTGTCAAACAGCGCAGTTTAAGTTGACCGTGCCCTTGAGAGAGAGCTAGCCCCCTGTAGCCCCTGCCCCACAAGGTGCGACCCCCTCCTCCTCAGCACCACTCAGCAGGCGGGCCGCAGCTCACCAGGTGAGCCAACTGACACAGGCATCCGAGTCCAGGACTCACTGCGGTGTTCCCTGCACCCGCTGTGGCTCTGTCCTTACAGCGCCAGCCGTTTCAGGGCCTGAAAATCCTCTGTCTTGCCTGTTCCTTCCTTGCCACCCTCACTCCGATCCCTGGGGACCCCGTTCTTTATAGTGTCTGAGTTGGAATCATCCGGATTGTCAACTTTTCTGTTGAGTACCTGGTTGAGCTCCTAGAGGTAAATTGCCCCAGACTGGGTTCGGGGGATTTCCACCTGACTCTGTCCCCCCAGGGATTTTAATGCTCAGGCGGGTCCAGTTACAGCGTCCGCTGCGGGCAGTGAGACTCACCCTGGAGGCAGTGACCTCGCATCCCTCCCCTTGTGGATCTGAGAGGAGCTGTTGATTTTCGGTCTCTTTGGTTTTTACCTGTTGTTGGGTGGATGACCACTTTCATGCTCCTCACCTACAGAACCAGAAAGTGTTTCTCAAAAGAGAAACAGTTTGTAGAATTCTGAAAACACTCAAGCCTTTAATGTAGTATTTCTGATTCTTGAAATCCACCCCATAAAAATTACCTGAGACGATTTCAGAGATTTCTGTGTGAGGATGTTTTCATAGGATGCTTTGTTTAGCAATAAGCTGCAAGCAACCTAAGTGTAGCCACGTACCGATGCCTCAGACACCAGTGGTGGATCCATTTCTAATTCTTACAGGTACAAAGGCTTTAAAAAACATCAGTTCATATTTTCATTTTAAGTACAATGAACAGAATATAAAATTAGGCAGGTAATGTGATTTTGTTGTGTAAAAGTGTTATCACTGAAAGTAGAAGGCAGTGTGCCAGGGAACGTGGCGGAATTGTACTCCTCAGTAACGCTAGTAAAGGAGGCTTGGAGGGCTGCTTTGGCCCTGGAGCTCAGGCTGGATTGGAATGTCACCGGGAGTAGAGACCTCGGGTGGTGGAGTCGGGGCTCAGACACGGAGGGTCACAGTGGAAGAAGAAACCCCATGACTTTGCTTTACACGAAGACTTGACCCGTTTTTGGTGACAGAGCCCGGCAGGACAGTTTATTTTCGAGTGTGAGACGTGTTTCAGTATCCAGTCAATGAATGGTCAGGAGTGCCCTTCTTTAGGTGCCTGGTGGGGGGTTGGGCCTTGTGTGCAGTGTTTGATGCCCTGCTGTGGGCTGGCCTGGGGAAGCCCCCCGCCACTGCCTGCACAGTCATGTCTCTGTAACCAAACACTGGTAATGCTGGCCTCGGCCTTGTAGCATTAAGGTGGTTAGCAGTTGGCCTTAAGGTGCCTCGTAAGTGTTGGCCCTTAAGAGGTTTTCATGGTTATTTTGTTGTTTAGTCGCTCAGTCGTGTCCATCTCTTTGCGACCCCGTGGACTGCAGCACGCCAGGCCTCCCTGTCCATCACCAACTCCCACAGTTTGCTCAAAGTCCTGTCCATTGAGTCGGTGATGCCATCCAACCATCTCATCATCTGTCATTCCCTTCTCCTCCTGCCTTCAGTCTTTCCTAGCATCAGGGTCTTTCCCAAGGAGTCAGCTCATCACATCAGGTTGCCAAAGTATTGGAGCTTCAGCTTCAGCATCAGTCCTTCCAGTGAATATTCAGGGTTGATTTCCTTTAGGATTGACTGGTCCCAGGGACTCATGGTTATTAGGGAGTGTGTTCAGAGCGTTTGAGGCCACCATACCATTCTGTTTGCAGACGGGCATCCCATTTGAGGATTAATTACCCAGGGCGGTAGTCAAGGGTGACGGGATTGTGTAATTAAAGGGAGCAAGTGTGTGACCTCTCTGAGCTTGGTGGGTGTGACAGTGAAAGGAATCGGCTGCGCTTCTGGCCTGGTGACAGACCCCCGGCCAGGGGAGGTCAGGGAAACCCTTCTCTTGGAGAAGCCGGATGCCCACTCTTTAGGGGGTGGACAGTCTTCTGGCACCTCTGCTAGGGGACAGCAGGCTCCCCGTCACCATCAGAGAACGAGCCTTCCTGACTGTGTCCTCTGGGAGAGCAGGCTGTCAGGACCCTTCGTGTCCTGCGGCATGGTGGCTTTGTCTCCAGGGATGTGTCAGCGTTCCTTACGCAGCGGACAGAAGACGCACATTGTCTGTATCCGCGCTCGCCTGGTGTCACGACAGGCACGGCAGCTCTGTCTTTGAGAGACTGCAGACGTGACCCAACAGGCAGTGGTCGCTGTATATTACATGTTAGAGTGGACATCCGTCAGGCTGTAGCAGACCTCCACAGACCCTGCCTGTGCTCTAGACGGACCTGCCCCGTGCGTCCCCTTGGCTCCTGGGGTTGCCCAGAGCCCCTGCCTGCTCCTCCGGGAGAACCCAGGCCTGGTGGCTGGAGGTTCGCCTGGAGCCATACTGAGCCAGCCCCGCCTTGGCTGCCTTCGTCCCTCACGGCCCCTGCCTCTTCCACCTTGGCCAGGACCGGTCACTGCCTCCCTGCGGCCTGTACGGGGTCAGGCCGTTGGCGCACCGCCCGAACGGGGCCGCCTGCTCTGTGTGCGCTTGGGGCTGCCCCTCCTCTCCTGGGCGCTCGTCCACACTGACCTCCCGCAGCCCCTGCCCTCCTCTCCTGGGCCCTCGCTCACAATGACCGCCCGCGGCCCCTGCCCTCCTCTCCTGGGCCCTCATCCACACTGACTGCCCGCGGTCCCTGCCCTCCTCTCCTGGGCCCTCATCCACACTGACCGCCCGCGGCCCCTGCCCTCCTCTCCTGGGCCTCGTCCACACTGACCGCCCGCGGCCCCTGCCCTCCTCTCCTGGGCCTCACTCACGCTGACTGCCCGCGGCCCCTGCCCTCCTCTCCTGGGCCTCGCTCACACTGACCGCTTGCGGCCTGGGCAGGCTCTGTTCCCGCGGCTCCTGGCAGGGTCCTCGCTTCCTGCGGATGAAGACCGAGGTGAAGCTTTTCCGGTGGTGGCCAGTGCTGGGCCTGTGAGTGGAGGGAGAGCGAGCTGAGCCATGTGGGGACGGCCAGGCGGGGTGTCTGTGAGGGTCCTTCCTGCCTGGAGACCCACAGAGGTGTGCCGTCCAGGGAGGACGCGCAGGGCTGGGATCAGGCCGGGCTCTGCTGGCCCTGAGGCTGGCTCTGGGGTGCCGCCCAGCACAGTGGGCCCGCGGCTCCTGCTGGAGCTCTTGTGCAGTGAATCTTCAGCACCCCTCAGCCTTGTGAGTCCCCAGATCTAGGAACACTGTAAGCACGTAGCTCCTCTTAAATGGCACAACAATACAAGCATTTAACATCCACCCCCCGACTCTTCTTGAGACTTAACGTCGTGAAGCATTGAGGATACAGAAATCAGGACGCCACCCTTGGGCAGTGGTGGCCAGGGTGTGCCCGAGGCCTCTGCTCCGGGAGCGGGAGGGCTGCAGGAATGGCTTCCAGCAGCACCACTGCCCTTCCTTCTCCCCTCTCCCTCCAGGCTCTGGTTCATTAACAGCTGGGGTCCTGTCTAGTAATCTGCTTTTTGAAACTTGAAGTGCTAACAGTTTAAATAGAGTGGGCTGGAAGAATATGTGCAATGGTGATTTCTCCTTGTGGTGTGGGGGTTATAGTTAGGTGGGCAGAGAGGGGTGAGAACAGCTCTGCCAGTCTTGAGTTCAACCGGGGATCGAATTCAGGCCCCCTGCGTTGGGAGCACAGGGTCTTAGCCACTGGACCACCAGGGAAATCTCTGGGTGTAGTTTGTGATGGTATTGCTTTACTGTGTCCGGGTCAGATCTTGAAAAGTTTCCTTTATGTTACATGTTCTGTTACATGTACGTCAGTTATTTATTTTCAGAGGACTGTCACGGACACCTGGAACATAGGACGCCCTCGGAATTTGCAGTGGCGGCTGTGACTCCCTTGTAAGGAGAGTGGCGCTCGGCGCTCCTTTCCTGGCAGCGATGAAGTGGTTTCTGTGGGATGCGGGGCATGAGTCGGTCCTTTGTTTGGCTCTGCTGCTGCGGCTGACAGCCGGGGATTGTCTGTGAGCTGCCCAATGCGGTCCCCCTGTGGGCGCCATTGTTGGCCGGGCCGCCCCACGCCTCCCGCCCTGGGGGGAGCTCTGGTGGCTGGGCTCTTGGCCCGCCCTCCTCCTGGTGCCTGGTGACGGCTGCTCTTCCCGGCCTTCTCTGGACCCGCCTGCGTGCGATGGAGCCGTGGCGGCTGGGCCGTGACGTCCCATGGGGTCCTGCAGCAGCCAGAGCGTGCAGCAGTCCAGGAAGGGGAGACAGGTGATGGCTGGAGCCCCCGGCGTGCTGTGAGCTCGGGGCGGGACCGGCAGCCTCTGTGTGGCGGACGCCCGCGCCGCGTGGCTCCCTCCTTGAGTCTGCAGAAGTCAGGGCGCGCGGCCTGGGTGGTTTGGGCGGGGTTGCTCTAGAGCCGGTCTTGAGCACTTAACTGAAGGTCTTGTTTGCAGCCAGTAGACGCAGGAGGGGCGGCGGGCAGCGCACCCTGCGTGGGTCCCGGTGCGCCCTCAGGGCGCTCCATGTCTGCTCGCCCCGCGGTGCCGCGGCTGAGGAGGGCCATTGACTGCTTCGCGCTTGCGCTCCCAACGCCGCTGTCCGTGGGACCTGTCTGTGTTTGCAGAGTGTGTGTGTCGGGTTCCAAGCGTGTTCTTGGCAGAGTTGCTGATAGCTCCTGGTGTGTGTTCTTAGACATGGGGTCTGAGTTGAGCCTTTGTTTTCACGTTAACATCGGGGCTTTTTGTGTTACTCATCTGTGACAGATTTAATTTTTTTTAGTTCAGGGACCCAGCCATGGTACTTGGTTCGCCTCGGGTCATTATGTAAGGAGAAGATGGGGATAACGTGTACGAAGCGCATCCCTTGGTGACGCAGAGGCAGGGTCACATGGTGCCCCCCCGTCCTCCAGTCCTCTGACACTCGGGCCCACTGAGTGTCTCTTGGTGGGGAGGTGCCTAACTGAGAGTGGCAGCCACGTCTCCCCACGAGGCAGCGTCGCCCAGAGTGGCCCCTCCCCGCCCGCTGACATCCATGAATAGGCCCATTCAGGGGCGGGACGGAGTGGAGGCAGAGCTGCGGCAGCGCCTGGGCCCTGCGTAGCGTGCCGTGCTGCCTCGGCCCTGGCACCCCCAAATGGCTCTGCTGCCCTCCGGAGCGAGGAAGACCCCAGTGAGCGCACAGTGGTCGGGTGGCCTGTGTCAGTGCTGGAATCTCAGTTTAGCTAATGATTGCTTCTTTCTTCAAGGTTTAAACATACCTTTTGGTTATCGAAAATCAGGGGAGAAAGCCGAGCATGTTTGGAGTCTTTATTCTGTCTAATTTCTTCTGCAGGGTTAGTTTAGGATGCTGTGTTAGTTTTGGGAGACAGCGCTTAGTGCAGGGAGTAGTAGCTCCTCAGAAAATGCACGTGGTGTGACTTGGTGACTGGAGAAGGTGCTGGCCCTGACAGTGTGGTGGAGCAGACGGCTGAGGAGGGCTCCTTGCTCCCACGCAGCCCTGAGCCCGAGGCTGGAGAGGGGCTGCGGGTTGGGCGCAGATCCACCTCTCCCCGCTTCATCCATCCTCTGTAGAGGGGGGCTTGCCCGCGGATCGGAGGCGCTGTGGGTCGGGCACTCACTCAGCCGTCCAGGCTCCCATCGGTCAGGCTTCCCCTGCAGACCTGAGCTGCCCCGCCTAGCCCTGCCCCAGGGGCCAGTGCTCCTGCCATTGCCTCTGAAAGGGGCTCATGTTTCAGCCAGCTCTTTTACACTTAGATTTCTTTCTTGGTTTTTAGGGGTTGTTAGCTGCTTTTGTCTATATATATTGCAGGCTTTCAGGAAACATGTTAATTTCAAGGTTGATTTATAATTATTCTCCCAGAGATAGGAGAATACATCCAGTGCATACAATGCTTGTTTTATGCTGGTGGACCTTTTATTTGTAACGTGTACAGGATGATCTTAGACAGTCACCTTCTCTGGTGAAGGTCTGCAGTGCCCAGAAATTGACTTAGAATGACTAGATGCCATCTGAAGGGTGAACTGCAGGTTTTTTTTTTTAGTGGATGCACTTTCCATGTGTCACAGTGCATAGATTTTAAGGGTACGGGTCAGGGATCTTTAACCGGTGTATATGTCTGTGTAACAACTACCCAAATCATGATGCGGAACTTGTCCTTTATTCCAGAAATTGATCTCACGTCCCTTTCCCCGTTGTCCCCCTACCTCCCCCCCCATCCCTGCCCTCACAGATGAGTTTGGCCTGTCCTTAGATTTACCATAGATGGGTATATAGGATGTCCTGTGTGAAAGGCTTCTCTTGCACAATGCGTGCTTTGGAGATGCATCCATGCCTCCATGCTGTTGTGATTGTCAGTGGTTCCTTCTTTCCATCTAAAAAACACATAGCATCTAAACAGACGTAGCATCTGATGATGGAATTAATTCAGGCCTCTTTCTAGGTGTTCCTGTGTTAAATGTGCTTGGCAGGAATATGAAGTCAGTTAGATAGCCTTGATAATAACTCATTACCTGAATTTACTAGTTAATAATCACAGGGAGTGATAACATTAAACAAATCAGTGTTACATAGAAGCAACCGTGCGAATTGAACAGTAGTGATGAACTTTCCAAAGCTTATACATCTTAATGTCAAATAATACTTACCATTTATTGTAGGTGCTACAGAATATTTTGGAAACAGAAAATGAATATTCTAAAGAACTTCAGACTGTGCTTTCAACCTACTTACGGCCCCTGCAGACCAGCGAGAAGTAAGTTAGATGGTTATTGTGTCAAGTGTTGGAACAGTGGTCCCCTTGGCTATTGCCTCGTGTTTTCAGAGAACAGCAGCTGAAAGGCTGGGACAGAATGCAACTGAAGACACAAGAGAGCTCCTTGTGTGTTAGGCCGCGGGGCGGGAGGGGAGGGGAGCATGAGTAAGACCGCTCTCACGTGTCTCCTGTTTTTCTCGGCTCTAGGTTAAGTTCAGCAAACACGTCACATTTAATGGGAAATCTGGAAGAAATATGTTCTTTCCAGCAAATGCTTGTACAGTCTTTAGAAGAATGCACCAAGTAAGTAAGAGGCTAATAATTGTAAAATTCAGATGGATACAACTGGTATTTGAAGGGTCAGGATTAACTTAACTTTTAGATTTCACATTTCTAAAGGTGGATACTGGGTTATTTCAAATGTTTGGGGTATGTCAACTTTTACAGTGTAAGTGTGTTGTAGACTCTTCCTCTGTGGGATCGACTGCCTGCTCAGAGCAAGGAGAGAGGTTTCCTGTGAGAAGTGGTTCTTTGGGGTGGCGGCTGCAGAAGGGAGGGAGCGTGGAAGGGAGCACTGCAGCTTGGTGCCAGACCCCTGCCAAGGTCAGGGGAGCACAGCGTGCTGCTCACAAGCACGCGTCTCTCTGCTTCGTCCGCGTTGGTTTTTCTCATGTGGGTTTCAGGTACATCAGGGCTGGATGCACGGCCAGCTCGCCCCGGGTCCTTTCTCATTCATCCTCTGCTTGCTTACGCAGCACCCAGCGTGTGCCAGACGGGTGTTAACGAGACAGAAGTGACCCCTGTCCTAGAGGAGCTGGTAGTCTGGGGAGGGAGACAGCTGGTTAAGACGGTAGAAGTGATTACAGACGGTAGTGTGGAAACGCTGTGAGGAAAGCTGAAGTTGGGTTTCAGGGGAGGTCGGCCAAGCACTGCAGTGACAGGAGTAGGCAGGCAGAGGCCGCGGCGGCCGCTTGAGCCGGCCCCGCTCGCGGGGGACCCAGCCTCTCCATCACTTACTGTGTGGTCAGTCATCCACTCGTTCACTCGTTCTCCTGTCCCCCGCCCTTGCGGGTCACTCTGTGCCCAGCACCCTTAACCTGGTGCACTTGCCCACGCATTCTTCTATCCTGGAAGAATGCTCGTTCCTGTGGCAGCCACTGCCCTGCCCTTGCGCTGACGCCGCCCTGGCTCAGGCCGGCCTCTCCTCCTGTGTCCCGCACAGACCTCCTGATGAGGCCCTGACCTCTGGTGGTCCTCTGCCTGTCCATCTCCCCAGCAGTGTCTGGCCTGAGCTCTGCCCAGAAGCTGGGGGGTGCCTGGTTATTCCTGGGCTTGTTCCCAGCTGTGTCTCACAGACTGGCCTCGACGGCCACAGGAGCGGCCTGAGGGTGCTGGGGAGCTGAGGTAGGAGGTCGGTCCCCGCGTGGTGGCCGTCTGTGGGAGCCCCGCCCGCTGAGGTAGGAGGTCGGTCCCCACGTGGTGGCCGTCTGCGGGAGCCCCGCCCGCTGAGGTAGGAGGTCCGGCCCCCGCGTGGTGGCCGTCTGCGGGAGCCCCGCCCGCTGAGGTAGGAGGTCGGCCCCGCGTGGTGGCCGTCTGTGGGAGCCCGCCCGCTCCCGGCTCCCGCCTGCTCTGCTGCACAGGCCTCGGCCCCGTCGGCCGGCCCGCTCCCTCGGGGCGGGCCCGGGAGGCAGCGTGTGCCTGCCCTCCCTGCCCTCCCCTCCTCTCGGGCCGCTTCCTGCTGCTGCTCGCGCTGTGGTCCTACCGGTCCCTCTGACCCAGGGGCGTGGGCAGTCCTGTCACAGCCCCCCTTTTCCTGGCGCTGTCACATGTGTCGTGCTTGCTTGTACTTTCTTAGGTTGCAGACTCCTCCGTGTATTGTAGGCTGAGGTCCCGTTAGTTGTCTTACATTTTGTAGGGCTTCAGCTTATTGAAGAAAATACTGAAATAAACATTTGACATAATTGCTGCTGGTTAAATAAACATTGTGTATTTAGTTCAAAGTTAATTATAAGGCGTGTTTTAAGATATAAATAAATTCATCTTTGTAGACACTGGACTGTTACTGTAACATTTTCACAGTAAAATAGTATTTGTTTTAGATTATTATCAAAATACAAATTTGAACTAGAGAATAGAGTGTATTTTGTCTGAAAGCTGTGTTTTGTACCATCCAAATAGTAGAAACATGGGGGATCCAGAGATGATACTAACCTTGTAGAACGGAGCAGCTGGGACACACAGCACCCTTCTGGTTCTGCTGGGCCGTCCCTACTAAAGAGCAGGGCACAGGACTTGAGCTGATAAGGAGGTGATTGGGATTGGTGGTGCACCGACCCAGGTGATCACGGCCGTCACCTCCGACCCCAGTGGGGTCTCGGTACAGTGGACTTCACGTCAGAATTGGCCCACCGTGTGGCACCTGGGAGGTCCTGAGTAGCTCTTGCCGTAACCTCCGGACTTGCTGAATGAGACCGCATGATTCCGTGGAAACATTTCCAGCTCTAGAACCTCGTGCGTCTAGGAAGTTGGGAAGGGAAGGCACTCCAGTGGCACATGGGGCGGTGAGAGGATGGCTTGAGGTAGGGGCTGGAGCTGCTGGCTGGTGATGGGGGCTCCTCTGGGGGAGCCTCAGGTGCTGCCGCCTTGCTGGGCCTCTGGCATCCTTAAGGAAGTTGTCCACGTTCAGGGTTTGGGGTCCAGCAGGAGGGGGCTTGCCAGGGGCTGCCAGCTCCCTGAGGCTCCAGTGTGGAGTCACTTGTGTCCCTGCATGGGGACGCCTCTCGGTCGGTAGTGGGCAGACTAGGGGGGCGCAGGGGCTCACGCGGGTCACGGCCACACCCTCGTGCTGCTCTTGGTCTCCCTGGGAAGTCGGTGGCTGCTGGACCCTGAGCGCTTTCTTTGTGCAGTTAGCAGCACCATCAGGCACAAGCGTGTCATGCAGGGATGTTGTGCGGCAGCTCTGTGTTCTCAGGCTTCTCCTGGAGCTCATACCGCTCTGCTCCAGGGAGGGCCCCTGGGGGTCCTCACCTGCCCTGTAGCAGTGTTCCCCCTGGAGAAATGGCAGTGCACTGCCTGCATCACTGCCTGTTACTAGGCCACCAACAACTCACCTGTGTCAGACCACCGGTAACTCACCTGTGTCAGGCCACCAACAACTCACCTGTGTCAGACCACCGGTAACTCACCTGTGTCAGGCCACCAACAACTCACCTGGGTCAGACCACCGGTAACTCACCTGTGTCAGGCCACCGACAGCTCACCTGTATCAGGCCACAGACAACTCACCTGTGTCAGGCCACTGACTACTCACCTGTATCAGACCACTGACTACTCACCTGTGTCAGACCACTGACAACTCACCTGTGTCAGACCATCGGTAACTCACCTGTGTCAGGCCACTGACTACTCACCTGTATCAGACCACCAACTACTCACCTGTATCAGGTCACTGGTAACTCACCTGTATCAGGCCACCGACTACTCGCCTGTATCAGACCACCGACAATTTGCCTGTGCAGGCCACCGATAACTCACCTGTATCAGGCCACTGATAACTCACCTGTATCAGACCACAGATAACTCATGTGTATCAGACTGTCGATAACTCACCTGTTTCAGACCACCGATAACTCACCTGTATCTGACCATGGATAACGCCTCACCTGTTACCTGACCTTTCATAACTCTCCTGTGTCAGACCATTGATAACTCTTCACCTGTTCAGTTCAGTTACTCAGTCATGTCTGACTCTGCAATCCCATGGACAGCAGCACACCAGGCTTCCCTGTCCATCACCAACTCCCAGAGCTTGTTCAAACTCATGTCCATCAAGTCGGTGATGCCATCCAACCGTGTCATCCTCTGTCATTCCCTTCTCCTCCTGCCTTTAGTTTTTCCCAGCATCAGGGTCTTTTCCAAAGAGTCAGTTTTTCGCATCAGGTGGCCAAAGTATTGGAGTTTCAGCTTCAGCATCAGTCCTTCCAATGAATATTCAGGACTGATTTCCTTTAGGATGGACTGGTTGGATCTCCTTGCAGTCCAAGGNAGAAGTGGATGTTTTTCTGGAACTCTCTTTTTTCAGTGATCTAGCAGATATTGGCAATTTGATCTCTGGTTCCTCTGCCTTTTCTAAAACCAGCTTGAATATCTGGAAGTTCTCAGTTCACATACTGTTGAAGCCTTGCTTGGAGAATTTTGAGTATTACTTTGCTAGCATGTGAGATGAGTGCGATTGTGCCGTTGTCTGACCATTCTTTGGCATTGCCTTTCTTTGGGATTGAAATGAAAATTGGTCTTTTCCAGTCAGCCACTGCTGAGTTTTCCAAATTTGCTGGCATATTGAGTGTAGAACTTTCAAAGCATCATCTTTTAGGATTTGAAATAGCTCAACTGGAATTCCGTCACTTCCACTAGTGATGCTTTCTAAAGCCCACTTGACTTTGCATTCAAGGATGTCTGGCTCTAGGTGAGTGATCCCACCATCATGGTTATATGGGTCATGAAGATCTTTTTTTCTGTGTATTCTTGCCACCTCTTCTTAACATTTTCTGCTTCTGTTAGGTTCATACCGTTTCTGTCCTTTATTGAGCCCATCTTTGCATGAAATGTTCCCTTGGTATCTCTAATTTTCTTGAAGAGATCTCTAGTCTTTCCCATTGTATTGTTTTCCTCTGTTTCTTTGCATTGGTCACCGAGGAAGGCTTTCTTATCTCTCCTTGCCATTCTTTGGAACTCTGCATTCAAATAGGTATATGTTTCCTTTTCTCCTTTGCCTTTCGCTTCGCTTCTTTTCTCAGCTATTTGTAAGGCCTCCTCAGACAGCCGTTTTGTTTTTTTGCATTTCTTTTTCTTGGGCATGGTTTTGATCCCTGCCTCCTGTACAATGTCATGAACCTCCCTCCGTCCATAGTTCATCATGTCTATCAGATCTAATCCTTTGAATCTGCTTGTCACTTCCACTGTATATTCGTAAGGGATTTGATTTAGGTCATACCTGAATGGTCTAGTGGTTTACCTGCTTCTTTCACCTGTTACCAGACCTTTGATAACTCCTCACTTGGTATCTGACCATTCTGATAACTCTTTGCCTGTTAGCAGGTCCTTGGTTGATGACACCTCTTATCAGACCACCCCCTCCTATCATCAGATCAATGATGGAACCATAGTAGCAGGCCTTGCTGACCCTGCACTAATTGTCACAGCTTGGTGTGGGGCCACCAGGAGGCTGCAGGGGGATGCGGTGACAGCCCCATGCATGCTCTACACGTCTTCATGTTCTCAAACCCACCTCTGGAAGCACGAGAGAGAACCATGATGAAAATCCTCTCTCTCAATTCTTAAGTCGTGTTCTGCCTGGATGGTCTTTGTGAGTGTTGCGTGTTCCATTATTTCAGTGATCTACATGCTGTTGCGTGTGTGGTGTGTTGGCATAATACCTGGGCTCCAGTTAAGACTAGCATGCGACCTTTATGAGCTCCGGCTGCTCCTGCAGGTTGGTGAGTGGATGGACTGTGAAAGGATTCATGAGCTAATGGTGGCGAGTGCAGTAACTTCTTGCAACATTGGGTTGAGAGAGGTAGTAAACCTCTAGAGCCAAGCATGATGGGAAGGAAGAAGGAGGGTCTTACTTAACTGAAGTCATTGTCCGTATGTAATCCACGGACATGTTAACAGATTAAAGCCCCTTGACCTAGATTTCAGGATGTTCTCCTCTGAGTGCGCTGGGCTGTGGTCTGGCCCAGGAGGGTGAGGCCGTCCCAGCAGCTCCTGGCCCGGCGCTGAGCAGGGCGTGCAGCCCCGTCACCTTGTCTGCAGGCTGCCCGTGCCCCGTCTCCGGCAGTGATTTGCTCTTCTCGGCCAAAGCGTGACGGCCCGTCACGCTGTCGCCTTCAGTCCCCTCAGCCAGGCAGTCAGGGTTCCCTGCAGGTCTCTCGCTGGAAAAGGCAGCCTCTGCCTGCTTTCTTGCATCCGAGCGTGACCGTCGCCGCTGAGATGTCCGTGTGTCGTGGTCTTGGAGCAGGTGTGTCTTGGGTGTCCGGGTCCTGGTAGGAAGCAGGTGGTCTAGTGCCTTTGGGGAGGGTGCCCTTGGCAGCATGTGATGCCTGCTCCCTGGTGACTGGGGGGCGCTGCTCCCTCTCTGGGGCACCCTGTCCACTCTGGGGTGCCCTCTCCCCCTCCTGGACTGCATGTTGTCCTCTTCTGGGGGCGCCTGCAGTGAGTGGCTCTGTGATTGAGGCATCGGCTCTGTCTCTGTTACACTCAGCTTAGTTTTGAACTGGTTTTGTGTCCCCCCATAGATTGCAGTCACCCTTAAGGTAAAGACTCACTCTTTCTCTGTTTTTAATGTGTTCCCAGTGCCTAACTGAATGGTTGAAGTTAATTTATTGAGTCAGTGACTATTTATCCTGCAGATACAGGAAACTGTGACTAATCCCTGAAGGCTGTTAAAACCCACTTGTGGGTTCACACTGCCAGCACTGCCAGCAGTGTGGGCGCCCGCTTGCTTTGACCTCAGATCCCAGTGAATGAGCCGAGCGCTGGCCTCGTGCACGCTCGGCCTGCTCAGGGGCCGGCTGTTGGCTCCTGTGGCCCCCAACGCCCGGGACTGTCTCCCTCACCTGGCGGGGTGGCGCCCTGCTCTGCGGGCCGCTTGTCTCTCCCCCACCGACGGGGCAGCCTCCACCCGGGAGCCGCTGTGGGGCTTCTCATGGCCTGTCCCGCAGCTGCTTCAGCAGGAAACCTATGACCAAGGAACCACACATCCCGTTCCTCCTCATTGACATGCGACATAACGCTCCTGGACATCTGTTTTGCTCACTGTCCAAGGAGCGGGCTGACCTGCAGGTCCTGGCGTCTGGACACTGGAGGAGGGGACGGCCTGCTTTCTGCTGAGCGGCTCCCCCGGGGGCTGGGCGCGCCATCCAGGGCTGCCCCATGGGCTGGGGCCCGCTCTGGGAGGCTCTCCCTAAGTGGGGCTCCGTGTCGCTGTCCGCAGGATGCCGGAGGCCCAGCAGAGGGTCGGGGGCTGCTTCCTCAGCCTGATGCCACAGATGAAGACCCTGTACCTGGCGTACTGTGCCAACCACCCATCTGCGGTCAGCGTCCTCACGGAACACAGGTGCGTCTCGTGGGCTTCTTCCCGGGGTGGGGGTGCGGGCGGCCGTGCCTGGGGTTCCCTCTGGGCAGCTCGTTTCTGTAAGTTATTACTTGAGACGCAGTGCAAGCACCCATGTGTTCATTCAAGACTGGTAAGTGTATCATCCTCCAAGTGAGTGCCTGGGGAGGACTGATGTCGGGCTTTAAACCCTAATTAGTGCTCACAATAGAAACGGGCGTGCTTTGAAGTCTCCCCTTCAGCCTGGACCCTTTGGCCGGAGGTCAGGGGGGCTGGTGGGGGCTCAGGAGGGTGGCTGCGGGCTGGTCCGGGCTGCCGGAGCCGCATCCGCCCAGTGCATGGGGCTGGGGCACGTGGGACAGCACTGGCCTTGCTGCAGGAGGTGGCGTCCGTCTCTGTGGGGCACGCTGAGCCAGAGGCTATGTGTGTCTGCTCTGCAGCTGGAAGCAGCAGCAGGCTGCCCTCTGCGTGTCTGATCAGGCACGGCCGGCTTTCCTGGGCAGCAGGGAGGACCGCAGGGCTTGACCTGCGCACAGGGTGGCCGCCGAGCTCTGCTTCTGCTCCGAGGGGCGCGCGTCTGTGTTAGGGATTCAGAAACTTAATTGTTTTCTTCTGAAAACAGCAGTTCAGCCAGAAATGAAGAAATTGTGTGAGTTGGAGCAAGGTGATGCCTGTGCTCCTGATTTAAATATTTAACCTCAAGTTACTCCTAACTTAATATTTCAGTTTGAAGCTTAGAGGCTGTGCTGGGATGCAGGCGTTGTTGGGCTGTTTCTAAACTGAGGCTCCAGCGAGGCGGCCTGTGTCTGTCCGACTGTGGCCGGGTCATGTGGACCTTGGGCAGGGCCTGTGGCCTTTTCTGAGCCCTAGCCACCGCTCTGCAGCTGGTGGGCCTCGGAGGTCACCGCGCTTCTCCGGAAGTGCCTGGTTATAGAGTGCTGTCAGCGGGAAGCGGAACCCCTGAGCTGGCCAGCACTGCGTGGACGTGATGAACTCTCAGTAAATGCTGATTGCTCTGTTGTTTCATCTTCACGTCGGTCGCTGCCCCCGACTCCGGGTGTTGACTGTTCAGTGTGCCTGGATTCTGAACCTCCACTTGTGTTGATGCATCTCCCTTCCTGAGTGAGGCCGGTCATCTCTGACACAGGGATGGGAAAGGAGGGCTGTGAGGGTGCCCGGGGAGCGCAGGAATGAGAGGTGGGCTGGTCATCTGCATGCTCCGGGGCGGGTGGGCTGCCATGCACGCACCTTCCCAGGAAAGCCGGGAAGCATGGATGCAGTGACCTGGCCCGGCATCTCTTCCCAGGAACGATGACTTAGATGAGTTTCCTCCCGAGTGAAATGCATGGGTTGAAATGTGAAGTTTCTGAAAATTCCGCAGGAATTGTTGACGCAGCCCTGGGAGAGATGAACAGCAGGTAGAACGCTGGGGTAAATTACAGGGGCATTTTAAATGTGTGCTCTCCTTCTGCCGTTTTGGTCAGGGGTCAGCCCCCTGGGGGTGAAGCTGTGTCCTGAAGGTGACATTTAAAACCATTCAGATGTTCACCGGCAATGCTTGTGAGCATGTGCTGTGTTCCCCTCTGTATTATTACTTCAACGACTGCTTGTGTCGTGGCTGGAACCTCAGGGCAGCTTTTCCCAGAAGAGCAGGAGGGAGTCCAGATGGGGCTCTGTTCATGGACCCCCTGCCTGCCTTCATGTGGCGTGTCCCGGGCAGGAGGCAGGTCGGCCAGGCCCTGGGAGTGTGCCGAGCTTGGGCGAGCGAGGCGGCCGGCAGGATGCGCTGCCCACGTGCCCTCCTGGGGCCCCTGGGCGGCGGCGCCCCCTGCCCGCCGCTCAGACCTGGCCTCCGCCAGCTCTCCCTCCCTTTCCCTTCTGTCCTGGGCCCTACTTGTGGCCTCTGTCCTGCTCTTGTTGAGGTTGTGAAACTACCACTTAGGGCTGGATCAGTCTGTTTTTCTGCTTGAATATACTTTCTTAGGGATTGATTTAAACATAGTGTTTTGCAGTTTGTAAGTCTTATTTTTAGTGTTATGATCCTTACGTTGTGTTAGTTTGAATTTTGAGTGTGAATCTGCAAAATGTATGTATGGAGCCTCCGGTCCTGTTGAATTATAACAGATGTCTGCCTTTTGCATTATCGTTTGCTAGTCGACATCATAGGCTCGTGGCTGCCTGCTGCGAGTGAACTAGGGGTTTCCTGGTTTAGGATGTAGAACGTCTCCTTTTCTCCAGCTCCGTAGTTGTTGCTTTTTGCTGCGCTAACCTGAGGTTACCTCTGTGCTCCTCTGGTCCCTGTCATGCAGCCCACAGTGTTGTTTGAGTAATTACAGAGGATAAAACGTTGAGTAAGCGTTGCTAGCATCAGTAGAAATTAAGCACAAAGGGTCTTTGTTTTGTCAGAAAAGCTATAGCCTGCTGTTTTGTTTTATTATGGTACTAAATTTTTTAAAAACTAAAAAATGAAACAAATGTATGCTAAGTTGCTTCAGTCGTGTCTCTTTGCGGACCCTGTGGACTGTAGCCCACCAGGCTCCTCTGTCCATGGGATTCTCCAGGCAAGAGTTCTGGAGTGGGTTGCCATGCCCTCTTTGAGGGGATCTTCCCAACTCAAGGATCCAACCTGAGTCTCTTATGTCTCCTGCATTGGCAGGGGGGTTCTTTACCACTAGCGTCTCCTGGGACGCCCATACAGTGATCTGTAAAGATTTATAAAAGGTTTTGTTTCATTTCTTGATTGTGTACATGTCTGGCATTTTATGACTGTCATATGGATATTAAAAGAAGTTACTTTTGCTTGCAAAAATTACATGTAAATTTTTAGTTGTAGGGAATTTTGGGTGTAGGTGGATGGGTAATAAGAATAATCTGCTTAGTTTTATTAATTATTGTCTGCCATAACTATAGTTATGAAGTTTCATATAATACTAAAATATCAGGAATGACCCACAGAGACTTTTTTTGTTATTTTTCTTGTGGCAGCAAAGGCCCCAGTTGGATCGTATTTAAAGGAGCCAAACTTCAGTCTTAGTGCCATTGGGGGGGTGGCGTGAGGCGGCCCGTGGGCCGGGCTTCACGGTTTCGCGTTCACTCTGACCTCGTTTATCGTGCTCCTCCCGGTGGGAGCCGTGGGGGCCCTGAGGCGCTGCAGCCTCGCCGCCCGCCCGCAGCCCAGGCGCCCTCTGCTCCACGTCTGGAGGGACTCTGCCAGGCAGCAGTGCGGGCCACAGACTGCGGCCCTCCCGGGGGCCCCGGTGTCATCTGCCCGTGGTGCCGGGAGGGGAGTGCGGAGTGCCCGTCACAGACGCGAGCCACAGATGTGTGGGCGACGGGGCTGGGCCCGCTGGTCCTCCTGGGTGCTCTCCAGGCGCCCTCTGCTCCACGTCTGGAGGGACTCTGCCAGGCAGCAGTGCGGGCCACAGACTGCGGCCCTCCCGGGGGCCCCGGTGTCATCTGCCTGTGGTGCCGGGAGGGGAGTGCGGAGTGCCCGTCACAGACGCGAGCCACAGATGTGTGGGCGACGGGGCTGGGCCCGCTGGTCCTCCTGGGTGCTCCTGTGAGCCGGGCCAGGGCGGGCCTGGGCCCGGGGCCGCGGGCCGGGGAGGTGCTCGCTGGGCCGCTGATGCAGGGTGCGGGAGCAGGACCGAGCGGGAGAGGCTTCCCCTGCAGCTTGTTTGTTTCTGAATGCACGCTCGGCCTCCTCGTCTGCAGACGCAGACAGCTTTCTTTCTCCCACGGGTTTGAGGGTGAAGTGAAACGGTGATGTGGAAGTGCTTTTGGAGGTTCAGCGCCTGCGTGCGTGTCAGGGACAGTGGCGCTGCTGTTGGGGGGCTGCGGGGCCTGGCGGCTCAGCACCGAGAGTCAGGTGGTTGTCATCGTGACGCGTCTCCTTGCAGGTTTTACCGTCTCGAAGGACCTGCTCACGGGGCTCTGTGCTTGCCCTGCAAGGACCGCGCACATTCAGGCCTCTGTGTATGCAGGTGGCTCGCTGAGCAGGGCTTTCCTGAATGCTTGGCTGGGAAGCCGTGGCGGTTTGTGCCACACACACATGGCTTTGCTCAGGCTGAGGGCCCTGACGTGAGCTGTGGGGGGTCTTCCCTTTGGTGTTCAGAAGAAAGCAGCACACGAGGCTGTAAAGCCTGTGGCCTCTGAGTGGCCGTGGACGCCGCGTCGCCATCTGGGGGCTGGGGGCAGGCGCGCGGCCATCCTGGGCTCTGACGGTGACCTCTGCTGTCTCCACGCACACTCAGTGAGGAGCTGGGAGAGTTCATGGAGCTGAAGGGCGCCAGCAGCCCAGGGATTCTCGTGCTGACCACCGGCCTCAGCAAGCCGTTCATGCGCCTGGACAAGTACCCCGCGCTGCTCAAGGAGCTGGAGAGACACATGGAGGTACGTCTGCCCCGCTGGCCACGCCGGAGCAGCAGTGAGGAGCCAGACCCGGAGAGGGCTTCCCCACCAGCCTGTGACTTGGGAGAGTGTCGTGGGGAGTTCGTTGGTTCTGAAGTTGTTTCCCCGTATCCCAGCTGTGTGGAGCAGCGTCTGCTCCAACCGCTGCTAGCGGGGATATTTCCAGTACCTGGAAAACGTCGTGGTGTTGAGGGGTTACATGGGGAACATGTGCGTACAGTGTTAAGTGTGTAAGTTATGGAGAGGTAATAGGAAAAGAATCAGCCAACGATGTGTACTTATCTCATTTTCAGGACACAGGCTTGGGCCCGGCAGAAGTTGGGCTTCAGGCTGCTGGCTTGGGTAGGGTGTGGTGAGCCCTTCCCCAGAGGGCAGGCAGTCTGCTGCTCCCTGCTCCCCTCTGCCCTCTGGGGCCCGAGCATCAGGGCGGGTGGGGGTGGGTGGGGCTGTGGGCCGGCCTCCTCCTCTAACGCAGAGTCCAGAAGACTGTCCAACGCTTCGTGACCCCCTCAGAGACTAAGCAGAGGCCCTTTAGTGCAGAGACAAAGGGACAGATTACAGGCTGAGACTGCAGGGAAGGTTCAAGCCAGTCTCCAGAGAGAGCCTTTCGAAGAACAAACTTTTCAATGAAAGCTCACAGTGTGTTTCTTTTATTCAAAGGATTATCACCCAGACAGACAAGATATTCAGAAATCCATGACCGCCTTCAAAAACCTTTCAGTAAGTGATAGAGTGTGTTATGGTTTTTTTTCCATCAGGCATTATTATGGCAAATGAATGCAGGAACTAAGCTGTGAACTATGATTTGGATTTATTCTCGAGAAATAAAAAGTAAATAACATAGTTATTCCACGGCTGGTAAACTTTCATGCCTTATGGCACTGTGGACAGCAGAGAAATGGAAGGATCAGTGTTTTCACTTTTACATGGTATCACATAATGCCGTAGTACACGTAAATGGTTTAGAACATGTTTTTAGCCTCATCCCAGTGTCTCTAGTGATGTATGAAATGGAGTGCTGGGCTTCCTTCTTATCTGCTGTCAAGCTGTCTTAATGACTGTTTCTGGAATATGTGTCTTATTTATAGCACAAGTGGAACTCACCTTTGTTCCCTCTTCTAGGTCTTTTTGGGCACTCACTAGTAAAATCAGAGAATTTTTTTCTTGTCCAGTCCACATTTCGTCTTCTAAAAACGACAGGATTTGCTATATTTTTCTGAACTAGTATTTCTCATTCTAGAGCTCTTGGTTGTTGTGGGTCTCTCTTGACTTGATTCCGTACTCGTGAAGTAAGCGCGTTGCTCACTGGCTGGTCTGTCTGAAGAAGAGGTCAGGGCCGGAGCAGGAGAGCCCGGAGCTTGGTCTGGGAGCCCGTCTCCCCTGACGCGCCTCCTGTGCCCCCAGGCCCAGTGTCAGGAGGTGCGGAAGAGGAAGGAGCTGGAGCTGCAGATCCTGACGGAGGCCATCCGCAACTGGGAGGGCGATGACATCAAGACCCTGGGCAGCGTCGTCTACATGTCCCAGGTCCTGATCCAGTGTGCCGGCAGCGAGGTACTGCCTTCAGCGTTCCCTGCGTTTCTCTCACTGGGGGAGCCTCCTCCAAGGCCCCTGCGCCTGGCTGGCTTCCCCTGCCGGGGACACCGCCTCCCCGAGTTCCTTCACTGCTGTGGGCGGTGTTTCTCTTGAGTCTCCTTTTAGATTCTTGGGCATCTTTGTGCTTCACTTAGGATCTTTCTGGGGCTTCTCTTACCGATTGCAGCAAATGAGATTTAATATATAAACAGTGCTCCTCGGCCTTTCATGTAAATTGGGCAGAGCTCATTGGGGGATGGCAACAGTGGACGTGCCAGGATCTGTCAGTGGGCCAGAGGCGTCTCCCTGCTTTATCCTCCCCGCCTTCAGCCTGAAGGTTCCACCTGGTCTCCACTGCCACTAAAAGTTCACAAGTTCTTTGCTTCATTTTCTCTCAACCACAGAAAAAAATTTGTTTTTCTAACTCCTGCCTAATGAGTTAATGGCAGACCTAAACTCAGATTTTTAAAAAAGATGTTCCATGGGCTACTTGTGAGTCTTACAAATTTGTCATGATTTTGTTTCCATTTAATTTAATTTGGTAGAAAGAAATACCTAAGCATGAAGTGTGATACCTTATTTCATAAGGCCTAATGTAAATATTTGTTCTCACCATTGTAAATATGTGTTTTTAATACACTTATTTGAATTTGTTCTTTTACATTAGGAAAAGAATGAGAAATATCTTCTACTCTTTCCAAATATTTTGCTTATGTTGTCTGCCAGTCCTCGGATGAGTGGTTTTATATATCAGGTAAAACACATTTTCAGTTTGTATTTGTTTATTGTGGACGTGAGAACTGTTTTAAGGCTCACTGTGAGTTTCTGTATTAAATACTATGCATCTGTTCGTGTGCTGTGTATAGTGTTGTAGCTAAAGTGTTAGGTTCACATCAGTACAGACAGCTCCTGTCTGTGTGCTTCACTGTAACTGTGCCAGTTAGGATCTTTGTGTTAGTCCAGAGCAAAAAGAGAAGGAAACGGGTGTTTGCACAGCTGACCCCCAGGACACAGGCTGCTGGATGCAGGCCAGCTGGTCGCCTCCGGTGGTTCCGCTGCTTTCCTGCCAGCCGGGCCGGTGGCCGCACCGCAGGCCGGGGTTGGGAGGGGGAGCGCTCGTGCAGCTGAGCTGGTCTGTGGGCCCCCACTGGAGTAGCAGTCACGGGCACACGCCGGGGGTGTACTTAGCTCTTTCACTGCTGATCGTTTTTCTGGTTCTTCTTCGAGAGGATATGAGGCTGATTTGAGAAGAAAGCGCAGGGGCAGAGCCCTTCTGTTTCTGTGTGCTAGCTTAGAGTGTGGTGTTGCCTCGCCCTCCTCCAGGGGCCGCCCCAGCCCGGGGATGGAGCCCCGGTCCCCGCAGTGCAGGCGGCTTCCCTACCGCCTGAACCACCAGGGGAGCCCATTAGGTGCCGCACATTCTCTCTGTGTCTAGTGGGGCTTCCGGCAAAGTTGACTGCTCTGGTCTTGTGTGGTTTTTGAAGCTGCGGCCCTTCCATCAAGTTTTTGAGGCCTGACTGGTCGCCAGGAGCCATTCACACAGAAGTCACCCTGGGTTTGCTCTTGAGTTGCATTTCCGCACACGTGGCATGCTGTTTTTGTCCCCAACAAGCGCTCTGGTGGGTTGTGAGTCCAGTGTGTTCATGGCTGGCTTGTACCTGCTCAAAAACTTTGCAGCCCAGAAAGGAGTTGGCATCACACACTTATTCTGAAAGGAGCACTTTAGGCGTGAGAAAGCAGATAGGCACAGGCCAGCCTAGGAAAGGACCGCCTCCTGATTTGTAAGCCTGTGGTTGAGCCAGCACCTGGCTGAGGGAGTACCTGCTTGGCTCCCCAAGCCAGTCGCCGCCACTTTAAGCGACCACTGTCCCTTCCAGCTGCATCCCCTGGCTTCGAAGTTCCCCCCACCCCGGGACCCAGGGCCCTGCGGTGACCTATGGGGCTGCAGTGGTGTCCGGGGCGGCCTCAGGCCCCAGGATGCTGGCATCAGCGTGCTGCCACATGGCCGTTTCCCCCCGGGTGCGCTGTCCAGGGGGCTTCTCTCTGAGTGCTGTGACCCCCACAGTGCACGCATGTCAGTGTTCACTTCTGGCTTTGCCCCACATCCGGCCACAGCGAGCTCGTCCTGCCCTCCGTGGCTGCTGCTGCAGGCTAGTCGGGGCCACGCAGCTGTTTCCTGTTGGGCTGCTCCGAGCTCTTGGTCACCTCGGCACCGTCAGCCCCTTGGCAGGGCGTCTGCAGTGTCCATACCTGACCACACAGTGCCCGCCTGGGGGCCGTCCCACCCGCCCGGCTGCGGGACAGGCTCCTGAGCGCGGGCCCTGGTCCCTGTGCACTGGATGAGGCCTGTAGGGGGATTCGGAGGTGGCTGGGCCCCATGGGGTGCTTTCGGCCCCCCGGCCTCTGCCCGGGTGTCAGGAGTCCTGTGCCCTGCAGCCTCACTGCTGCCCCCTGCTCAGAGTCCAGCCCTCAGGGGCCTCTGGCCCTGACTCCGAGAGGCGTTGCCTGAGCACTCGCTCGGTCTCTGCAGCTCTGGTGTCTGTCAGTTGAGGTGGGCCCTTCGTGGCCCAGTTCTGGCTCCGCTCCCTCCTCGCCCTCGGTCTCCAGAGCGGGCGGGCTGGTGCGCGCTCTGCGTCTTGTGCAGCGCCCAGCCCGGCTGTGATGGGCTGTGGTGACGGACGACCAGGCACCGCCCTCACACGGCTCCTCTGGCTCCAGCTTCCTGTATTTTGCCTTCAGACGTGGAACTTCCTCTGTGTTCCTCTAAGGCGTGTCCGTGCTTCTTTTCTACAAACAACATCCTTTAAAATAGCCACTGTGGACCCTAGTTTTTTTAATCATAGTGTATGATGTTTTGTGTCTTGCTGTTTATATTTAGAATAACTCATCAGATGAAATGTTTTTGTTCTGGTTTGCAGCCTTGTACCTTTTTGCTGGCTCATTTCTGGTTATAGTATTACGATTTCTTATTCCAGGTAGAGGTTTTTATATCATACATGCTTTTGGTACAAACGAGAGTTTTTGCTTTACGAAGACAGTTCCTCTGCCTATTCTAAAATCATTTAATATTTACTTTAATAATGGTACCTTCTTTACTAGAAAAGCACTAATTGTTTCTTTTTGTGGGGGGGGTTCTTTTTTAGGGAAAGCTACCAACGACAGGAATGACAATCACAAAGCTTGAGGACAGTGAAAATCATAGAAACGCGTTTGAAATATCAGGTGATAGGCACAGACTGTGTGGGTGCTCTCTGTTCGGGCGCCGAGGCAGCGGCCCCGCTGACCCCCCGAGGGCTGCGTGGAGGTGCTGTGGGCCTCCTCGGGGTGCGCACGCTCTGCCGCCCTTCCCGCCCCTGCCCTCCCCTGCCAGCCTGTGTCTGTCTCTTCCAGGGAGCATGATCGAGCGGATCTTGGTGTCCTGCAACAACCAGCAGGACCTCCATGAGTGGGTGGACCACCTGCAGAAGCAGACGAAGGTCACGTCGGCGGGGAACCCCACCGTCAAGCCCCACTCTGTGCCATCCCACACCGTAAGGACCCCCGTCCCGCCCCCCGACTGCAGACCCCAGGTCAGGAGAGCATGGCCCGGGCCTTGGGTCTCTCTGCAGATGTGTCCTCATCCCCCGTGGACCATGATCGCTTCACAGGGAACCCACTTGTAAGCCAGGCCTACTTGTGCTGCCTCTCAAGAATTCACACACATGGACGTACACAGTTCATGCCACTCGGTTAGGTAGCTGTCTTGCCCAGGGTGGGCTATGAACACTAACCTTGGAGGTTTCAATCAAAACCCTGAGAACCACTGGTCCATAGAAGGGTTTTCTGAGCATTTTAATTGTATTTATCATGTTTCATCAAAAACAAAAATGAAAACCAAACTTATGATGACAAAAAGGACCAGATTCATGCTGAAGGCATTAAAGTGTAATTTTTGACTCATCATTTTAAGAAATCTGAATTTTCTGTTTTTAGAAAAGCTCAGCAGCTCTGCAAGTTTTTAGATACTTAAACATTGCAAAATATATCAGTACCAAAGTGTCAGTGCTTAAAGCAAGCCTTTACTGGTGTTGCCTGCTTCAGATACTGGTATTGAGTCATCTGAACACCTGTCGTCTTTCCCTGTGAGCACTGACGAACGTGGGGCCCTCCTCACGGTGACCTCAGACTGCACGGCATGGCCGGCTTGTGAGGGTCTCTCCTGGGACTTCTGCCACGTGGTTCACACCTGTGGTCGCTGTCCTTGGGCTTGAAGGTTTTTCTCAGGGATGGTGGCCATGGCATAGTGTACTGGTCACGGGTGCAGCTTCTTACTGCATTTCTCAGCAGTCTGAGGGTAAAAACCATTCATCTGCTTCAGCTATCATTTTGAATGGTTCTGCCATGACAGTGTTTCCATATTGTAAACGTATACTAGAGATGCTTAGCTTTCATGGGACTTGAGTTTATCCTAAGGGCACATGTGTGCACATCAGAAGGGAGTGCCTTCTCACTCATGTGGTAACAGCCTGAAACTAGCCTCTGTTACATCCCACCTCAGGTAGCCCTGTGCTGGGACCCTGGCCTCTGGTCCGGGGCAGCGGTGTGGTCACCGCAGAGCCCACTGCTTCTGTCCTCGAGCCCCGGCCTCAGCTCTAGCCCAGGCTCCCCTCTAGGCCTGTGTTTCAGATGTTACTCATTTCTTCTGGATGATGACTGTACTCTTGGTTTCCAGCTCACAGAACAAGTCAACTTTTTCTCCTGTTAATCATACCATATTGTTTTGGGTTAATTTGAGGTCACCGGCTAATTTTGAATTGTTACTTATTTTGTTTAACATTTTCTTATTTGTCAGTGTGATGTAATACTTCTGGGGTTTCTAGAAGTATAAACCCCATTAATAAGATCCTTCTGAGAAGTTAGATTTATATAACTTTGTCTTGATTAAAGCTGATTTTTCTGAGAAAATGTTTTACCCAAAGGATTGGTAAAATTTTTCTATAAAAAGACAGTAAATATTTTTTTGGGTTTTAGGAAATACGGTCTCTGTTACAATTGTATTTTGCTTTTATAATATAAAAGCAACCATTGACACGAATGGCCCTGACTGTGTCCCAGGAAAACTTTTTTTTTTTAAACAAAAATGGATCAAGCCCTACTTTCACTGGGGAGGTAATAATTACCCTCCCCCAGTCACATTCCCAGTGCAGGGGATGCCCATTCTTTTATAAAATCCTGATATCTGTATTAAATGAGATGCCCTCTTTGCAAATGTGACTGCATGGCAGTTAAAGGCAGTCAGTGGATTTCCAGATCTGGACCCAGCAGTCTGCTGCTTCCTGCCCTGAGCACAGCAGGTCCCACGCAGGTTGTGGGGAGTGCTCGGCCTGGCAGCCAGTAACCCGAGTGTCTGGAAGTTCAGGATGCACGCTAGCGAGTGGGCGCTGATGTGCTGGGAGGGGGCTGGGCTGGTCCCGGATCCTCTGGCGGTGAACGAGCAGAGCTCTCGCCTTCTGTCCCCGGCAGCTCCCCTCCCACTCCATCACCCCGTCCAGCAAGCACGCGGACAGCAAGCCAGCGCCACTGACGCCCGCCTACCATACGCTGCCCCACCCCTCCCACCACGGCACTCCACACACCACCATCAACTGGGGGCCTTTGGAGCCTCCGAAGACCCCCAAGCCCTGGAGCCTGAGCTGCCTGCGACCCGCACCCCCTCTGCGGCCCTCAGCTGCCCTCTGCTACAAGGAGGTGAGCCCCAGTGAGCTTGCGTCTGTGACGTGGGGCCGATGAGCTGCTTCAGAAGGGAAGGCTCTGCCTTCACTCCCATGTCACCCCTTCCTGTGCTCCAGGGCCCCAGAGTCCTGGGGAGACCCCAGCTGCAGTCCCCTCTGTGCCCGTCACAGAGGGAGAGGGGCCGGTTCTGAGCAGTGTTTGCACTTTGAGGAAGCCGGTGACTGAAGTGACAAGTGTGGTGATCACACGCATGAGCTTGAGTGTGAGCTGGGGTCAGTTACAGTGTCTGGTGTGGATGTGGCCATGAACGTGGGGGTGTGGCTTGTGCGGTGGGCGTGGTGGGTGGGGATGTGGGTGTGGCTCTGAGCATGGTGGGTGGGACTATGAGCTTGGTGGGCGGGGCCTGTTAGCCTGGTGAAGCACCTTTGCGTGGGTTTGCATCTCCAGGAGGCCACATTGCCGAAGGACCTGGGGCAGACCCTGCCTCCATCCTTGCTGGAGGAATTTTAAGGTACATAGACGAGTAGAACATAAATTACAGTTAATCCTTTATGGGTTTTGTTAGTGAACTTTGGTTCTTAGGACGTGTATCTTCCTGGTGGCCCTGTGCCGGGTCAGAGGGGCATTTTGGCACCCTCATTGCCTAGCTCAGTGTTCAGGGGGCAGTCAAGCCCTGCTGCAGGTTCATTACAGGAGAGGGGGGAGTAGGGTAGAGGAGAGAGGTGTGTGGCTTGGAGGGTGTGGCCGTGAACATGTCCAGCGTGCTGGGCACACAGACTGCCTGGTCATGGAGCACGTGGTCCTAGAGCAAGGCCAGCACTGAGCACCACAGAGGGGCACTCTGCCCCGGCTTCCCTTCCGCCCCCTGGCCTCGGGACACGTGCTGCGTTCACTTCTTTGGGGACTGATGATTTCTGCTGCATTTTCAAGCGCTTTGAAAGTTTTCACTTTCACAGATTTTGGAGAGATATTTTGGAACGCAAGCTCTGGTCTCTGGGTGCTTTTCAGCCTGATCCCTCCCATAGCCCGACTCACGTTCTCAGCCTCGTGTTGGCCTCTTGAGGTTCACCAGTGGTGTATGTGTCAGTGATGCAGAAGTTAGCCTTCCTGACATTGGTGTTCAGTATGTGTTTGACAGTCAAAACTTTGCTGGCCGCATGGGCTTGTGCATGCTGTTCCTCTCCTTCCCCTTCGGAGGATCCAGACGTGTTGTGGACGGAGGGACGGACTCGGGGACTTTGTCTGCCAGCGGAGGGGGCACCAGTGTCCTGCCCGTGGGCTGATTCTTTTCCATTTTCTTCTCTTTGAGGCTTAGAATACCTTCCTGAAGGAATTGTTTTTCCTCGCCTTTCTTTTAGAAATAGTTTCCTCCTGTCTTTCTGGTTGGCTGCAGCAGCGGGTCTGCCCCAGAGTGGGCCGCGCACGTGGCTCCCTGCACAGGCGTCAGCCAGCTGCCCTCCCTGCACCACTGGCCACTGCGCCTTCTTGGCCGTGGTCCCGGTGGTCCCTGCCCCGGCGGGACCAGTGGAGGAGGGCCATCAGAGCCTGTGCCTGAGGATGTCAGCGCTCCGCAGCTGGCAGAGCGCGCTCAGCGTGTGCGGGCCGGGTGCTGGAGTGTTCCTGGCTTCCCTCTCCGCCGCAGCCGTGCCCGCCCACCGGATCCAGGGTCTGCCAGCCTTTCCCTCTCCTTCCCCAGGACCTGAGCAAGAGTCCCAAGACCATGAAGAAGCTGCTCCCCAAGCGCAAGCCAGAGCGGAAGCCCTCAGACGAGGAGTTTGCACTGAGAAAAAGTGAGCGCCTGAGAGGACACACGTGGCTCTCAGGGGTGGGGAGGCGGGGCCTCGAGGGTGGGGGCGGAGCCTCGGTGGGGAGGCGGGGCCTCGAGAATGGAGGCGGGGCTTTCCAGAGCCACAGAGGGGAGCCAGTGCCCAGCCTCGGGCCGCTCTCGAGGACTTCAGAGCGGGGCAGCGCAGCCCCCTCAGTGCCAGCTGCAGCTGCACTGGCAGCACCCCCCGTGAGCGTTACCCACCCTGTGGACGCTGACTCTCAGCGGATCCTGCAGGGAGTTAAACATTGTTCTCACAGAAGCCTATTAAACGACTGGTCCAGCTGGTGACATGTAGGTCAGTTTCGCGATGGCTCCTAAGCCCTCCGCGTGATGTTGACTCTTAGGAAGGTGCACCTGGCCTGCCTTGCGCGTGTCCGTCTTAATACCCTGAGATGCTGTCGGAGCATGTTTGGTTCAGCTTATAAGTGGCTCAGGCCTCCATTCTTCCCATTTTTTGCAAATTAGTTGAGCCTTTAAAAATACGTATCTAATATCCTAGAACATATAGAAACATTTAGAACAATAGCAGAATTTAACCCTACAGCGGTTTGAAGCATGTGGGGTGTGAGGGCTGCCTGGCACCAGCACCATCAGACACTGCTGCTCCACAGGCTCCGTGCTCCACCAGGCGGCCTCCAGGTGCAGGTGAGGCCTGTCTGGAGGGGCCCCAGCTCAGGCCAAGCTCTGGAGCCCTGCCTACACGCTCTGGGCTGTGCTCTGTGAATTTCCCGGATTAACTCTCTGGTGGCAGTCTGTGGATCAGGGAAGCGCTTGTTTGCAAGCCTTTGGTAAATAGGTTCAAATGGCCTTTCCAGGGGCTGTTCCTGTCTTCTCTGCCTCCCATGTGTGGGTGCAGGAAGTTCTTTCTGATAGCTGCAACCACACGGAGAATCGTGGTTTCTGATTTTCTGAGGCAATATGTGAAAACACCATCCCTAGTTTTAATTTTCACTTCTTGGTGACAATGGACATTTTTTTCTGTGTTCTCTTGTGATCTTTTCTTGGTGACAATGGACATTTTTCTTTCTGTGTTCTCTCATGAATTGTTTCTGTTTCTATTTTCATGTTCAGGATGGGGAATATTCTTTTTCCTATGGATTAGTAAGACAAATATATATATGTATAAATGTGTATATACACACACAGATATATATGTATATATATATATATATATATATATATATTTGGGTTTTAGCTCTTTGCCAGATATGTTGTAGATAAAAAATACGTAGAAAAAATAAACGTCCTTTGGAACATAACTATTCTGTGAATATCGGGAAATGTTTATCTGGTATGAAGTTGGGGGGTGGGGGCGTCAGTTGTCAGCACCGCTGGTGAGTGGCTGGCCAGGCTGTGCTGGTGGCTCGGGCGGTGACGGCTGTGTGTCCCTCGCAGGCACGGCTGCGCTGGAGGAGGATGCCCAGATCCTGAAGGTCATTGAGGCTTACTGCACCAGCGCCAAGACGCGGCAGACACTCAACTCAAGTAAGTATCGCCAGGGCCCGCTGCCACTGCTGGTTCCTTCTGCCTAAAATCACACCCTGAAGGACGCGGCTGGGCCCCATGCAGGCTCTCGGCGCGGCCCCTAGTGAGGCTGCTTCTGCGGCCTGGCCCACGTCCCTCAGTCGTGAGAAAGGGGTCTGAGCGGTCAGTGACACGGCCCCGCTGGGAGACCTTGGCGTCGAGGGCGCTGCCAGGGCGTGGAGTCTCTGGGGCCTGGAGAGGACGGCTTCTGCTAAGACACGGGAACGCACTCTCAGTTCAGTTGGTCAGGCTGCTTAAACTGCTGGTGTGGGAGTGGGGCTTTTTAATTTTTTTTGAGGGAAGAGTTTCTTAGAATTATTGTCAAAAACACAAGCCTAGAGTTAAGAGTTGTCTTTTTAATAGCAACTCCCCCCCCGCCCTCCCCCCCCTTAAATGATTGCGTTTAGAATTTTTGCTGTAGACACCAGTGAGTTTACTGGGTAGATTTCAATACCTCTAAATGTACCTTCATCTTACTTATAATGTCCTCTATGAAAAAGTCTTAATCTGTTGTGTGAACAGGAAAAAGGTGAATTCTTTCTTTTCCCCAACTTCCTGAGCATTTGAGAGTGGAGTGCATGCATGGTGGATATAGTCAGGATGTGGTCTGTTCAGGAGGAAACAGGGCTGAGCCTCTCCTGCCTCAGACTGGATGACATTAATTCTGGCATGAAAACCGGGTTTTATTAGGTGTTGTGTTTGGGCTCCCTTCTCCATCTGGACTTTGGTGAATTGCTCGTCACGGCATCTGTACCACCTGCAGTGTGACGTTGTGCTTCCAGTCGGTGTCAGGTCTGTTGTTAAAATGCTGGAAAGAAAAGGTGGAAAAAGGAATAGTCAAGTGCTTTAACTTAGCTTTTGCTCAAGGTGACTGCAGGTGTGAGGCTAGAGCCAACAGGATTAGCCCTGGGTACAGCTGCAGATGATTCGGAACCTTCTTTCTGGCTCATTCTTGACATGTCCTGCCCATGATGTTGGGACAGCTGGTCTGCACCCCGTCTGGTGAGAACGCCTGTCTGTCATGACCGGTGCTCAGAGCAGGTGAGGAAGAGCCGGGTGAGCGCGTGGCGAGAGTCTGCAGGTGATGGGGCTGTAGGCTGTGAGCGCAGACCATTGTCCCTGAGGACAGGACGGTTTCCTATTTGAGACTGCATTTTGGGTAATAGGCCGTATGTGCCTGTAGTTTTTGGGTTTTGAGTTTGAGATTTTTAAAAAATTACTCAACTTCAGCTGTATGAAGTGAAACTTGAGCTTGGCCATCTCAGGTGAACAGACCTAGTGACGTGAGCTTTGTGTTTTTGTGTGGGCCTCGTTTCTTCCCCGGGGGGACAGGCCTGGACTGTGTAGGTCTCGCCACATTGCCTGTGTGTCCACTTCTGCTGTGCGGGAAGAGCACTGAACATCGGCCAGCACAGTGGTTTTGTTCTTAACTGACGTTACGGCCTCACCCTCTGGGGCCTGGGACTGGCCTTGATGCACGGTTGTCAGGAACAGCAGGAGTTGTGTCCCCCACGCTGGCCGGGTGGCGTGCTGTGGAGTCTGCAGACGGGCCGGGCGGGCCGGGCGGGCCGGCTCTGTCTTCATGGCATGCACATCCCCACCTGAGGCTCAGCTGTGTGCAGCGCACCTGGGTGCAAGACGCCCGCATCACCCACACGGCCTCAGTGTGGACTGCTGCCCTCCTGTCCACGCCCGCCGCCTCCTGCTGCCCTCCCCCTGACACGGGGCTGCCGTTCACGGCTCCCCTCGCGTCGAGGGAGGGTCAGCATGAGACTTGATGCGTCCGGCCAGACGTGTCTCCCGTGTGCCCATTCCCCTGGCTCCTGTGGGTGGGGGCTCCAGGCTGGAGGCCTGCGTGCTCTGCAGGGTGGGGAAGCAGGGGCGGGGCCTGCGTCACCCCGTCTCCGTCGCAAGTTCTCGCAGTATTACAGTTGGACAAGGTAAGTTTAGACCCCGATCATTAAGATGGCTTCTAGTCTGGCAGAGAGGTAGCTGAAGAAGTAAGTCAGAAATCCTTGGGAAGTATTTTACATTCAGTATATCCACATTAACCTCATAAATGTTTCCTTTTACAAATAATGTCCTAAATGAGACTATTTGTTAATTGAATGTGTAACAGAATTGGTTATTTGTCCTATGTCTTTAGAATTTTCTTGTGATCGTGGTCTTAATTCATAAAAGATTTTGTAAGTGAGGGCCTAATAGCAGTAACCTTAAAAAGGAGCAGTTTGGAAATGGCATTGTCATACATAGGTTTATTTAAATAATCATAGATCTAGCTTTGTTGTAAGAGTCGTGCTAATTAATAAGTCAGTAAATGAAACGCAGCCGTAGATAAGGAGAAATGAACGTTGCTGCCGTTTTTTAACACTCTTTTCTCTTTCCCTTCTCTTCCCGTCACCTTTTGCGTTTGTTTCATGTTTTGGTTGTGGCTCTTCCTGCCGTCTTCCTGCTCGCCCCCCTCCGCCTGCCCCTCCTCCGCCTGTCCCCCCTCCGCCTCCCACCCGTCTTAGCATGGCAGGGCACTGACCTGATGCATAATCACGTCTTGGCTGACGACGACCAGTCAAGTCTAGACTCCTTGGGTCGTCGCAGCAGCCTGTCCCGTGTGGAGCCTTCAGACTTCTCGGAAGACTCTGACTATGACAGTATATGGACAGCCCATAGTTACAGGATGGGTTCTACACCTCGTAAGAGCTGTTGCTCATATATCTCTCACCAGAACTAACGCGCCTCTCAGCTTTCCTTAACGATGCTTGTCCGCAGCCTGCTTTTCTTAGACGTTCTCTCGCGGTTTCTTGTCTCTTATGTGATGTTTTAACAACTTTGGGGAGCGTTTCTGATGTTTCCCATTGTACTTTGTGGGGCTTACTGGCCACGTGGAGTGTCCACGCAAGCAACTGACTGTTGAAAGCAGTGGCGTGTCCGCACAGCCACACCGAGGGTCCTTTGCCCACGGGCAGTGGTGGTCTCACAGCTCCACGTGGCACGGTTAGGTTTTTTATTCTCAGCGTAGCGACTGTCTTGTTTCTTTTTAGATACAGCTATATGAACACTTTTGTATTTTATACTGAAACCACACAGGTCTGTGATCTAAGTGACCTAAGCGACGTGGAGGAGACTCTGGCCTTCCACACAGGGACGTAATTGTGTGTGTGCGGGACACGGCAGTCCAGTAGGTGGAGAGATGAGAAGAACCGTGCCTCCAGAGCTGAGTCCAGACCGGACGGCCGAGTGCTCGGCTGCCCTGGAGGAGCCTCTGTCAGTGCGGCGGGTGTGGGCTCCGGGCTGGGCCAGCGCGCGAGGGGCACGTCCACACCCCGCAGATGGCCGGCTCCGGGCCCCGCTTCCCCACAGGCCAGACACCTGCATGTCATCCCCCCAGACTTCCGTTCGTTGGAGGAGTTTCCCTTAGAAGGTGCTTGGCAAGCCGGTGCCCCTGCAGGGCAGGGCGGAAGTCTGGCCTCCGAGGGCACAGGTCAGGCTGTGTGCCTACCCAGGAAGCCTGGCCGCCCCGACTCCCAGGTTGGAGCCTGCTGCCTGTGGGCATACATGCTTGTTCTCAGCTGCAGGGACTCCCTTCACAGCCCTGGTGGAACATCACCCTCACTCTTGGTCGTCATGGTGATGCAAGTCCCCAAACGTTTACCAAGTTGCCGTGTAACACGCTTATGAGAACATCTCAGATCTGGGTGTGCCCCCAACTTCCCTGGGGCTTGTTGTGGGAGCTCCTCACTGCCCTCCCTCAGACTGGTTCCTGCCTCACTAAGAACTGACTGTGCCCCGTGGCACGCACTCATGGCACCAGTCCACACACAGTCCACGCTGCTCGGGGGGGTGGGGCCCCTCCCCCTCACACTCAGCTATGCGTTAGGGACACCGCGAAGCTGGCCTCAGAAAGCGAGATGCCGTAACAGTCGGGGGCGGCGTCTTCCCTCCGTGTGGGTGGCCCAGCCCTGTGCTCCCAGCGCCCCGCCTCCTCCAGCACCAGGTGTGCAGGGTTCTGAGCTCGTTTGCACAGAGCAGCTGTGTGCCCGGGGAGCTGGTCCAGCTGTGCACGGCGCTGGTCTCCGCGGCCCTCCCGGGGTCCCGGCAGGCGCTGTGCTGGAGGGCCAGTGCCCCGGGCAGGGGCTCGTTAGGAAACCAGGAGTCACACACGTCCGTCAGTCCCCAGGTGTCTGCTGAACTGCTCATGCCACCTGGAGAGTTCATATTTTTGTATCAGTTAGTGTAAATAAGAAAGTTGAGGAGCAGTCTTTTAGAGTTAGTCGGAGCCCAGTGTTCGCCCGTTGGGGAGAGGGCTTTATATACATTCAGCCAAGTAGCAGGTGGGGTTATGGGAGGAATACGGTCACTGTGAGGCTCATATGCTTCATGTCATGCAGTGCATTCAGAAGCGTCTGTTTCACTTCAGGTCACATCAGGCGATGTCACAGCTTTCCAGGTTCTCACAGTGCAGGGTCTTTATGCTCAGAGACTGAGTGTGCTGGGCCGGGCGTTGGTGCATGTGGGTTTTTGGGCCATGTGCTGTGTGCACCTGGGTTTCTCTTGAACACCAAATATCATCTGGGTTGTCCTGACATTGGTATTCCAAACACCAAAGTTTTCCTGTTTTCCCATAATTCCTCTTTGTGCCAATTAAAGTCATTTTGACAATGATTTTCTGTTGATTCTGACTAAGATCACTACAGAATGACCACCTGGTTGTCTGTCTGTCTGGGTTTGTTCTGAAGTCTGGCACCTCTTGCCCTTGTGACCTAGTTGGAAGTATTCGTACCACTGGCTTGACAGCCATTCTCATGGGGCCGAGGAGAAGGAGCGCCACGGCCAGTGTTTCCACTGTTGCGGAACTTCAGTCATGCCGCAATAGTACCTGTGCTTCTGCCATTCTGTAATATCTCTGTGTACAGTTAGTGTTATAATGACGGGCGAAGATTCTGAGCTGCAGGGCAGGTTTAAGC